TTATCGAAAAATGACAATGAATCTCGACAAAGGAGGAATCATTGGCCTTCCAAAAATTAGTATTGACGTGGCAAGTCAAAAAATCGGTTCCGGTAGCCTGGTGCGCCAAATGCCAATTTTTAAATTTGTAAGACACGCCAAACGCGGCCAACGCCAAACGCCAAAATTTTCGCGGAAAAGGACGATTCAGTATCAGCCGATTCAGTCCAATTGACGAAACAAACTGCTCCGTTACCGCAACGACATTCCTCGGTGTTGGAACAACTTCCCCTGGTATTGGAATGAAGATAGGATAAATAGATAATTTTAGATATTTTCGGTAAATTTTTTAATTTAAAATATTTTTAGACAGTTAGTAAAAATTTAAGCTCGGGCGCTTAACGTGTCGCGCCCTTTTGTACCGCGCCCAAACGTGCTCGCCCTTTTGAGGTGTACCGCAAAATTTTTATTATTTATGGCGAAATTTTACAATTTTTGAATGCCATGAGACTAGAATTCCGCCATTCAATTTTTTTAAGCAATTCAGTATCAACCGATTCAGTCCAATTGACGAAACAAATCGTTAGGATGTAAAATTTTGGCGTTTCGGCTCGCCAAAAAGGGAAAATCACGCCAACGCCAAAATCGGTCAAAAATAACGACAAAACGCCATGGTGCACATCTTTGATCGTGGGTTAAGTCAGTGAAATAATTGCTTTTTGCAAGTCGAATTACATTGTTTTAAGTTTTGTACATATTTTATTTTTCCTTCTCATTCTTTTAAGAAAATCAATTAATTGATCTTATACTGTTTAGTTAATTTAACTTTTCATTGCAAAAATATTTCCAAAATTGTAGATTACTATTATTCTACTTAGCTGTTATATTTTTTCTAATTTTTAATTTTTAGTTTTATTTAATGACTGATAAAAATAAAGAGCACATTCGTGCAGAATTTCAAAAACGTTTACAATCTTCACTAACTGCGTATGGAAGTAATGGAGCTGTTATATTTGAATTTATTAAAGACTTTAAGTAATTTAGAAATTATTTTTTTGAATGTCTTTAAATTTAAAATTTCAGAGAGGATTGGCAGACGGATGTTTATAATATTGCTAAACTTCTTGAATATTCTGATGGTGTTGATGGTTTAATTGCTTTAATGAAATCATTTCCAAATGATGTTGTAGTTGAAGAACTTCCAAGTGGTCTAGTTCGTTTTAAACCTGTTCCGACTGTAACAACTATCGAAAATTTGAATTTGATTGATCAATCAAATAAAGAAATTGCTGAACACAAGTATTGAATATTTTTAACAATTATTTTTGTTAATTTTTAGGGAAAGGAAGATTAGACTTAATCAACGACAAAATCCAATTCATATTAGACTTTCTTCAGTTCCTCCACCAATTTATCCGCCACAAATATTTAACCAGAGCCATCCAATTTCTCAGAATGGCCAATCAGTCCCTCCACATTTACTCCCGCCTTATCATCGAGGATATATTCCATCATCAAAACCGCGGGTTAAACAACCAATTTCTGAAAATGCGAATTTAATTGATCTGGGTGTTCGAGCACCACTATCTCAGCGTCAAAATGGTACTGGACATCAATCAAGAAATAAAACTAATTTAATTAATGGAAAAGAAGAAAGGATGAGGGATGGACGAAGCTCACCTCCAAGTATTTTTTGAGGAAAAACATTTCTTTAATTTAAATATATTTTAGGTTTTTCACGTGCTTCTACTCCACGAGTTATAAGTCTTCATTCTTCGATTAATGATCTAACTGAATTAGAGCAAGCAGAGAGAGAGTTTTCAATGAAATTGGGAAAAGGCCGACCAATTCTTGGTCAAACATTTGAACCGCTTATTTCTGACGAGTATGTTTTCTTTTTATTATTTTAACCGCATTTTTCAATTTAAATTTTATTCCTTACTCTAAATGTTTTTAATCATTTTTTAATTTTTTATTCTAGTCTATTTCTGCATTTATCAGTTGTCCCTACGGATGTTTAAAAATTTTTTCCTCAATTTTTTTAAATCAAAATCCAAAAATTTAACTTTTATCAAAAAATTTTTACCGCCTAACGACCCGAAATTTTCGGTCTTTTGCTTCGCGAATGGAAATTTTGTCTATTTCTTATTTAACCTGAAATTTCAGCGAAGACTTCCGTGTACCAGCATCGGATGATGAGTCTACTCTTACTGATGCTTCTTCACGTATTGGATCAGTCTCTAGCCTTGATAATCCTATTGACTCTAATAAACAATCTGGAACTGTTTTAGTCGATGCAAAGGAAGAAACTGAAGTTAATGATGAGTTTGACGATGAAGATGATGAATCTTTTGTTTCTGATGATTCTGAGTTCGATATTCTTTTTGACGAAATTGACGAATCTGTGGAAGAGAAAGAGAATATTTCTTTTTGCAAATATATTGACAAATTAAAGAATGAATTCCACCCTCCACAAGTATTTTTAAATTTTAGTTTATAGGTCTGAAATTATTATTTTGCTTAATTTTAGGCTGATCTTTCTCGTCTTCTTTATCTTTTCCAATTTAATGATGGCTCTCTGTCTTCGTCAAAAATTGATGATCTTAAAAGGTTTTACGAAAGGGAATTTGGTTGTGCTCTCTCGTCGAAAGAGGTTTTTAAATTAGATTTTTTGAGTAAATTTTATTTATTTTTAGTTAAATAGATTGTTGGGTTGTCCACAAAATATTCGAATTGTTGGAGAGTCTTTCAAAAAAGCTTCATATCCAGCTTCCTCTTTCTTTAGAGTTATTCAATCAGATTCATCTTCAAGCCTTTATACAGTTAAATTACGACGATGTTTAACTGGTTTAGCTAAATTTTTTTTAACTTTTTTTATTTTTTTCTAGGAGAATTCATTGATCCATCTATTTATTTTGCAAAATTGCCATCTCGGGTTGTGTCACGAACTTCTACGCCTTTACCGAAAATTTCTTCCATTTCAACAATTACGAGTAATAATAACGTTCCATCAACTTCAACAAACACCTCATTGCCAATTCAACCTACTACAACTGTTAAGTCTGTTGACAAGCCAACTTTCAATTCAAAATTAGACTTTCTTAAAATTTCAATTAAAATTTCCACTATTTTTGACAAAAATACAAATGGAAAAATTCTTTTAAATGAAATATTTGAACAATTAAATAAAATTTCGCCACATCCTTTACTTGAAACAAAAATGGGGCTACTTGGATATTTGATGGAGTTTCTTGCGGATTTTTGTGAAATTTTAATTGAAGGTTAAATTTTTCCTTTATTTCCACTCAAAATTTAATTTTTAGGAGATAAAATCTACATTGTGGATATTCGTAACTCTCCGAAAGTCAAAAAGAACAATTTAATTTCTACTGCTTTTAATGGTTTCCGTAGTGGAAATAAATTGAGAGTTAAAATCTTAAGTGTCGTCTCAAATGGCGATGCTAAATTGGAATTGTGCCAACTTTCTTCGAAATTGAGACTTTTATTGAGGTTTTTAGTTTATTTTATTATACTATTAAATTTTGATGGAAATTGATTTTTAATAAGACACGTATTGACAAAAAACATATTCAAACTAAGAGATTGTTAATTTAAAATTCGGACAAAATTTTTCTCATTCTAAAATTCAATTTGAAAATTTATCCCTGCTCAAAATCTTGCTCTTGGCTGATGTGAGAAAGACAATTTACTTTTAAGCAGGAATTTCTTTCCATAATACGTGTTCGATTAAATTATTTATTTTTAGTTATATGTAGTACTAACATTTAAATTATTACCCCTGATGTTTTTCGTCTAAATTAATTTCTTTTTTTTAGTGATTACTCTGATCTTTTGGAGATTATTGAAGAACAGCCAACTAAATGTTTAACTCCTGATAGTAAAAGAATGGTTTTCTTCTATGATCGTTCAAAACGTTTACGTCGAGGTTATATCACAAAAAAAGAAAATGAAAGCAGTGTTTCAATCAAAGATCTTGACATTTTGGATATTCAAGATCATTTGGTTTTAAACAATTGTGTCTTCGATGTTCCAGAAAACTTTCCCATTTGGCAATTTCCAGCTTGTCAGTTTTCGGCACAGATTGTAAATGCTGATATGGTTAGTTATTTTAAATATTTTTTCTCCTACCTTTTACAGTCTTCCAAAAAGATTTTTTTCTCTGATTCTTTTGTTCAATTCCTCTAACTTTTTGTCTTCAGATTCAAATTCGCCGATTCTGGAAAGAAGGAACTGAATTTTCGGTTATTGTTAATGAAATAATTAATGGCCAGAAATGTTTTTGCCGTCCACTTCCAATTAATTCAATGGATGTTGTTGATTTTTGATTATTTATTTAAAATATATTTTATATACAATTTAAATTAAATTACTAATTTAGACAAATTATGGTTTTTAAATTTGATGACAAATTTTATTATAGATGTACGTGGTTCTTTTGCTTAATTTATTCCAGAATTTTGGTATATTCTCATAATTTATTGTTTTTTGAAAAATTAAAAGATTTTATAATTTAATAAATTTGATTTAATTGAAATTTTGTTTTAATTTTTTAATAAATAAAGCTGACATTAATTAGTATATTAAAAATAAATTATTTTACTAACATAAATAAAATTCAGCTTAATAATTCTGCAATTTTTATATAAAATAATGTTATTTATAAACACTTTAATGGATATCCGGGAATATTTCTCCCTTAGGGAGATAAAAATGCAAAAAATTACTTTTTTATTAAAGAAGCCAGACAACTTTTTTTATATTTTAAGTGACTTTGAGAATTTAATCTTTTCAATGTTTTTAAAGTAAAACTTTATTTTTTTCATAATTTATTTGGGCACCCATTTAAGGATTCTTCTCTCTTTCTCCCTAACATCTTTTCATTTACAAAATCATTCATTTCTCCCACTTAAATATGTAAATATTTTATTATTTACTTTATTTTACTATTTTTATTTTTAAGATAAAAATAATTTAAAAGAATATTTTTCTAATTTTAAAAGATGCGTTTGGATGTAATTAAACATCGCCGAGTTTCCCTTAAAGTACCAGGAGATAATTTTCAAGAAAATGAGGATGAAACTTCGACTGAAAACGTTGTCACAGTAATCGCTCCAGATGAGATTACGAGTAGTTTACGAGAAAGAAGGAGAGGGAAAGCACAAGGATTACGAATTTCTCTTAGTTTTTAATCAATTTATATTCAGAATTTAAATATATATTAATAGATCCTCCACGTCCCACTCTTCAATCTGGAGGTTCTCTCGATTGGCCCCCAGCAGGCAGTCCATTTAGTGCCGGTCTTGTTGGGGCAAGTTGGCGTCCTCCTCCATTGGGAGATAATCTCCGAACTTCTGAACAACTCAATCGTTGGATAGCTAATGGAGATATACAACCCTTAGAATCTTTACTTCTATCAGGCCGTTCAGACCTTTTAATGGGGACTGAATATAAAGAAAATTTTATTTATGGACATAATCGTTCAAAACAATTTATTGCAGATTTAGCCGAGTATAATGTGAGCTTAAAAATTGAATAAAAATTATTATTTTAATAAAAAAATATATTTGTTTATTTGTTTTCACAAAATATTCAGGTTAAATATGAAAGGTTTTTGGAGGCTGTAGTAAGTGGAGATGAACATACAGTTCGTCAACTAATTGATTTTCGACATCTCGTACAGTCCCGACATCCAAGAACTCATACAACTACTGTAAAAATTCTCTCTTTTTATTGTTTACTTTTATTTTATTTATTAGATTCATTTGTCTGCAATTTTTGAACGGCCAATAATTCTTCGAATTCTTCTCGAAAAAGACCGTAATTTGGTTGATTCTCGTGATGCTGTAAATATTTTTCTTTTTAATTATTTTTCTCTTCCATTTAGGAGGGTCGAAGCCCTTTACATTATGCAGCTGCCATAGCTGGAACTCTAGGCCCTAAAGGCTTAAAATTAGAAGAAAATTCAGACGAATCCAATAACAACAATAATATTCAACAATCTGTGGAGGAAGAGGAATGTTTTGATATTTTACTTGATTATGGGGCTAATGAGGCTTTACTTGATGTTGAGGGATATACACCTATGAATTTCCATCGATCACCCCATTTATTAGATATGCACCAAATACGCGGATTGAATCAATGTTTTGAAGTTTTTAAACAAAATAAAAGATTTTAATTTCTTTTAGTTCCAATACGGCCAGGTGATAATATTGATGAATTGATTGCTCAAAGAAATGTAAAAGCTTTGAGAGAAATTGTTTTGGGTAATAAAATTAAATTTATTTATTAAAATTTGAGTTTACCTTATATTTAAATAAAAAGAATTAATTTTAGAGAATTTTTCTCTCATTCTTTAATATTTAGCTGGAGACTACAAATCACAAATTGAAGGAAGAATATTTCCCCCCGAAAGTCGAGATTTAGCCCCAACACTTTTACATCTCCAAACACGAATTTTAGCGATACACGAAGCAATTCGAAATAAAGACCAAAGAACATTAAAACAATTAGTTGATAGTTGGGATACAGCAACAGGGAAGGACGAATATGGAAGAACCCCTTTACATATTGCTGTTTTGTATGGAAGGGCTAGAATGGCTAGATATTTACTATTGTTATTTCCTCGTTGTGTTGATTTAGTAGATAAGGTAAATGGCAATATTAAATATTTTAGTATTTAGATTTTTATAACACACTAAATCAAAACCCATTTGGAGGTTAATTGAAAAATTAGAATTTCTCTGAGAATTATGTTAATTTAATTATTATTAATTAAACTTATATAAAATCCTTTATTTAATTTTTCTTTTATCTTTTCAGACATTTTATATCCACAAATATTTTTAATAATTTAACAAAATATATTTTATAAATAACATCATTATCATTATTAAATAGTCACTTTTAAATATTCATTTTTAATAAAAAGAATTTTTTATATTTCCATGGGAACTGTCCTTAAAAAATAAAAAAATCTTCTTCTCTTTTTAAGGCTCAACGGACATCTTTACATTATGCTAGTTGTTTACCAGATGAGCATCAACGTACACAAATGACAAGAATTCTTTATAGAGCTGGAGCAGAGATTTCATCAAAAATAAATGGAAATAAAATAACAAAAAAGTCAAAGAAAATAAAAGAAAATGATGAAAATGAAGAAGAAAAGGTGTTAAAAAGAATAATTTTTAAAAAATAAATAAGAGGGGAAAGTAGAAATGAAAAAGAAAAGTATTACTTACCTACATAAATATAATAATTAAATTTTATTTTAAAATAAATTAGACACCCTTTGGGACAGAAATTAAAATATATTTCTGTATAATTAATAGTGTTAATTAGGTAAACAAAATTTAAAAGAATTTTTTTTAAATTTAATTACTCTCAAAAAAACTTTATAATTATTTTAGATGGATGGGCAAAAAGAAGAAGGATTTCCAGATATAGAGAAAGTAATATTATCAGATAGTGATGATGAGGATGAATCGACAGAAGAGGATTTAATAAGGACTAATTGGAGGATAAACAAAAATGATGAGGATAATAAAATGGGAGGAAATGAAGGAGGAGAAGGAGAGGGGGAGGGAGAGGAGGAAATGTTTTTAGTTAAAGATAGTGGTTAGTTTTGAAAATTTTAAACAAAAATATTTGCTTAAAAGTTTAGAAGGGAATTATTTTTGAAAATTCTGAACAAAAATTTAGATTTAATCCTTAAAATATTTTTAGAAAAAATGCAAAAAACTAATAATTTACAAAAAATAATTTCTTATTTATTATTTAATAATTCAACAGACGGGGATGAATCTGTTGATGAAAATATTGAAAGACGTGTTTTGTCTATAGATTTTAATCAAAAACAATATCGTCAATTAGAACAATTATATTCTGAAGGGTTGGGTGGAAAAGTTTGGCTTGTTGTTAAAAAACATTTGGGAAATGAAAAGTAAAAAATAAATATATATTAAATAAATAATTAATTTTTAAAATTATTATCAAATAACTTCAAAAAAATATTTTATTTATTAAGATTAGTTAAATATATTTATGCTTATCGTCAAGCACAAAACAGACTTTCTCAAGTATTTGGAGCTATTGAATCAAATGATTTTCGTAAACTTAAAGTTTTGTTAGACGAAGAAATTGTTCAAGCTAGGGATTTAAGGGGTAATTTTAAATAAAAAATAATGTTTTCTTTATTGAAAAAATAAATAAAAAGGTTTAACCCCTCTTCACATTGCCGTTTTAGAGGAAAGACATGAAATGGTTGAATTTATAGCAAATCAATTTCCAGCACATATAAATATTTCTGATCATGTAAATTTAAAGAAATTAAAGTTTAAATATGTTAATATTGAAAAATAGGGGGCGACAATTGAGGATATAAAATTACTAAAAAGTATATTGATATTTTCAGCGCCTAATTAATTCAGAAATTATTTGGGAAACGTCATTTTAAACCCCAATCAATTGTCGTAATTCCAAAAATCTGATTATCTTTATTTATTTTCTCCCTCCCTCCTACTCTTTTACTTACCTTAATTGAGGAATTTCTTTTAAAATCATTAAAACTGTTAAAATATTTTAATTTTTAATTAAACATTTATTTTCGAATTTTAAAAACGCAAAAATTTTTTTAGTTGGGCAGAACAGTTGCACATTATGCAGCTCCCCAACAAAATGCTATTTATGACACTTTATCAGATCTTGGGGCTGATATAAAAATTCCTGACAAAGTAAATAAATTATTTTAAATATTTTTTTATTAAATTTTAACAACAATTAAAAATAATTTTTTGAAGAATGGATTTAGTGCAGAACGTTATAGAGCAAATCCAAAACAAATGGTTCGTCCATTACCTCTTTTAAATATTAATGAAAAAGAAAAAAAAATAATAAATAATAAAATATCCAAAAATGGTTTGTTGTCATTACAAAATATGAGAAATAATAATATATCTATGGACGAAGATGGTTATTCTATTTTTGATCCCGGTAGGGAGTTTTTAAATTATTTAAATATTTATTTTGTTCTTTATCCCCTCTCACTCTCTCTCTATCTTTTTGTACTTTTATAAGCAAAATTTAAACTTTGTTCAATTAATTAATGGTTTTAGTAAAAAAAGGAAATAAAAATTAAAAAGATTTATTTAAAAACAAACATTTTTAATCCAAAATTATCATTTGTTTTTGTATTTTTAATGCAGCTTCAAAACAATTTTTAGTTTCTGTAAAAGTTTTTTTCTCCTTATTGCTTTTTAATATTTAAGGAGGATTTAATTATAAAATGTTTATCATATTTAAAAAAAAATATAAAATTATAAATAAAAATATATTTATTTTATTTTTATAAAATAATTATACATATATTTTTAAAAATAATTAATGATGTAGTAATTAATATACATATTCCTCATTTAATATTACCGCCTCTTTTATTATTTTTACGTGATGCTTTTGTCGTCGTTCTACATATGTAAATACTAACCAACTATTTATACATTTTTTTGCTTATTTTCTCCAATCAAGCTTTTATTCTTAAATATTTTCTAAAAAATATTTTCAAAAATTATTTAAAAATATTTTTTTATCCAAGGAGTGACTTACTCTTTTTACCCTTTAAACCCCCTTAAATGTTTCCCTCCAATATTTCGATTCTCTTTAGAACCTAAAAAAAGTTTTTTGATAAATAATATTTTTCAGATTTAAATTTTTTCTATTTTTCATTATCTCTTTTAAAATACACAAAAGATTTCTTTTAAATTCTTTTTCCCAAAAATGTATAAATTTTGGTTAGAACGTCGACAAAACCATTTTCATTACCCTTTAATTACCACCCCTTTTAACAACAGAAATACAAATAATAATAAATTAATTTCTTGTTCTTCCCCTCATTCATTGGATTCCTCTGCCCCAACAGAAGAAATGATTTTAACAAAATTTGAAGGAGAAAAATTTCGTTTAAATTTGAGTGAATTAAATAGACAAGATACAGAAATGATTTTGGATGAAGGAAGAGAAACTGAGGAGGAGGAGGAGAGCGGAAGCTGCGGTGATTTCCTTGAGGAATCAGTTAATTTTCCTGGTCTGACTAAAAAGAGATATTCTAATTAATTTTCAATAACCTTATACTTTCTGTCATTCTCTCACATCTTTTCAGATGATCTTCCAAAAATATTTACTATTTTTATTCTTAAAAATATTTATAATTTTTTTTGATTTTTTAGATGCACCTACAGATGAGCAAGTCCAAAGATGGATTTCCTTGGGTGATGTACAACAACTTGAACAATTAGTTTTGGATGGAAGAGCACATTTATTAAAAGACAAATCTTCAACTAATTTAGCTTCAGCAGAATTTCTTCAAGGAGTCTCTCAATATCAATCTAAAGTAAAGAAAGTTACCTATAAATTTGGGAGATTTTGGGAGGATTTTATTCTAATTAATTAAATATATATTTTGCCCTAATTTTGTTAAAAATTTAAATAGCAATAAAGAAGCATTTCGTCAGACTTTTTCTTTCTTTTTTGAAATCATTTTAATAATTTTTCTCTCAATAAATTAAATATAGCTTCAAATATTCTCTAAAAATTAAGGTTGATTCAATACATAAAGCTGTAGAAGAAGGAGATGTTCGTCGAGTAAAATCTTTAATTGACAGAACAATGCTAGCAACTGCTAAAGACAGTCACGGTAATTATTAAATAAACAAAAAAATATCCTTCAAAAATTATTTTTTAAGGAATGACTCCTTTACATAAAGCTCTTTTATATGGACAAACAATTACTGTAAAATAAATACAAAAATATTTTTTTAGATAAAAAATCCTTTTTAGGTTAGATTTCTGTTAACAAAATACCCTCATTGTGTTAACGAACCAGATCATGTTTGTTAAATATTTTTAATTTTTTTAAAAATAAATAATTTTCTAGGCAGGCAGAACAGCTTTACATTTTGCTGCTGCTGATGCTAATGGGGAACATATGATTAAAGTTTTACAAAAAGCTGGGGGCGATGCTTTTATTGAAGATAAATATGGACATACACCTTTTTATTATCGAACACATGGAAAAAGATTAAATATAAGAACACTTAAAGATAATGCTGTAAGTTTTTGGAGGAAAAGTAAAAAGAATTTTTAGTTGATAATCTTTAATGAATTTAATATACAATTTAATTATTACCTATCTAAATCCCCCCTTAATTTTTAGGTAATAAATCAATTAATTTCTGGTCAATTAAATCGTCCTTTACTTCAAGATTTAGAAGAAGACATTACAGATTGGATACATACAGGAAATATTGGAAAATTGGAAGAATTAGTTTTAAATGGTTATGCTGATTTATTATTAGGGAGAAATCATCAAGTAATTATTTTAAATTAAAAAAAAATATTTTTTTAATTTTTTTTGGTTAATCAGTTGGACGATGCTGATGCAATAAGTTTTTTAGAAGTATTACCTCAATATCAGGCAAAAGTTCAAGCAATACATAAAGCTATAGAACAGGGGAATTTACGTGCTGTTAAATTATTAACTGACAGAAAGAAATTAGCTTTTTGTAGAGATAGTAGAGGACTTGCACCTTTACATAAAGCTGTGGTTTTTGGACAAACAGAAATTGCTAAAGTTTAAAAAAATAATTTTAATTTAATTTTTAATTTAAAAGTATTTAATTCGTAATTACCCACAATCTGTTAATTCAATGGATCAAAGTAAAAGAACTCCTTTACATTATTCTGCGGCTTTAAGAGATGGGGGTTATATGTATAAATTAATGAGAAAAGCTGGTGCTGATCCAAATACTTTTGATTGTGTAAGAGAAAAAAGAAAATATTTTTTATTTAAATATTTCTTTTAAAGAATGGAAGATTACCAAAATATTATTTAAAATATCCTGGAGAACTTAATTTGGAAAGAATGAGATTAGATACAAAACAAGCACTAAAACAAATCTTGCATACAAGAGTGGCGCCCTCCTATTTAGAATCAAAGTAAATAAATAAAATAAAAAAGATTTTTTTATCCAGAAGATAAAATAAATAGGTAAATAAATAAAATACAGACATATTTAGCATTCAGCAATGGCTAAGAGAAGGAAATTTAGCAAAATTAGAACAATTAGTAATGTCTGGCTGCGGTGATTTGGTCCTCGATAAAAAATCAAATAATCCGGAAGCTCAAATATTTTTGAAAGAATTACCTTCTCTTTTGTCAAATATAGACTCAATTCATAGAGCAATACGTGAAGGGAGAATTGAATCAATTAAACAATTAATTACAAATAAAAGATTGGTAAAAATTAAATAAATAATTTTCAAAAAAATAAAAAATTTAAATTAAAAGGCATTAGCTAGAGACAAACATGGCTGTACACCTTTACATACAGCAATTATTCATGAAAAAACAGAAATAATTCGTTTTCTTGCTGCTAATTTTCCTTTAGTTCTTAATGCTCCAGATTATAATAAAAGGACAGCAATGCATTATGCAGCAGCTGCACGTGATGGAGGTCATTATTTGAAGATTTTAGGTAAAGCAGGTGCTGATCCTATGGCTGTTGATAATGTAAGTTTCTAATACAAGAATTACTCTAATACTTGATTAATTCACTTGGTCAGTTATATTCCAATTAACTGCCGGAAGGGTCAATCAAGCGGATGAAGTATGTTATCTTGTTTCCGGGAACCGCACAGCAGTTCTAGGTCCCATAACTGGGACCTCTCGTTGATTCCCTGAACTAGATTTATTCGTTTTGGAACAGGAAGAATGCTTAGGAAGATAATCCCTTCTTTTTATTGCTTGTCCTAATAAATTGACGATGGAATCCTTGTGGAACTTCCTAACAAAATTCTTTTTAGGAGGGTCGAACGCCTGACTATTACCGTCGGAATGCTGTTTTTGATCTTAAATTGCTCAAAGAACGGGATGTGGAAGAATTGGGTGCAGATGCTTTACTCTCCAAATCTGTAGTGAGTAATGATTTAAAGCAAAATTACAACGAAAAATTTAAACAGCAACACGGCGACTTCCCTGACAGTCCGAGCGAATCAGCCGATTTACTTTCTTTGCATTCTTCTGGCGTTGATACGGGCAGAAAAGGTTTAGAAAAAGGTGGAGGTAGAGAATATATTGATGATGAAGGGGAAATGATAGAATTTGATGGAAACGGGGATGGAGATGGAATTGATGATAGGGAAGATGCTGAGAAGAATAGATTTGAACATTTATTACATGAAAGATTGGGAATGCCTACGTAAAATTAAATAAAGTTTAAAAAACATTTGGACTTTTTAGAAGTGATAACGGTCTTTATTTGGCACGTACTGTAGCACCTGTTTTAACCAAAGCATTGGCAGAGGTGTTATAATTATTTTAAAAATTAAAAAATATTCATTTTTAATTTTAAGGTACTTCTTCGACGTCCTGCTAATCCAATCGGATTTATTTCTGATTGGTTAGTTAAATATACTGAAGAAACAGAACAATTTTAAAAATTAAATTTGTTATCTTCTTTTATTTTAAAAATCTGTCATTTCTTTTTTTTGTCTTTTAATGTGTTTCCTATAAAATTTAATTATAAATTAAATATTTAAATATTAATTACCATCATTTGCCTTCCTTTTGTTTCTATTGGTAAAGAAAGTGCTGTTACTAAACCAATTAGGGATGCACAACTATATGTTCTTTAAAAATTAAAAATATATTCAGAGTCAATTTATTTAAACTCCTTACATAATGGGAATCAACAAAGAATCCCCAGAAGCAACTTGTGCAATAAAAGGAGTTACTAAAATTTTAAATAAAAAAAATTAAATTTCCATCTTTTTTTACCTATAGCTCCAAGCCTAGCCATAGAACTACTAGCCCCAAGGCCTAAAGCTCTGAGCGTTGTTGGATATACTTCTGGGGTGTAAACATAAACACATTGAAAAGCACCAGAAATAAATGCACGAGAAATAAAAATAAAAGTAGTTAACCAATACCTTTTTTTGAAAAAATATTTTTGTTTTTACTACTTCCAAAAAAAACCTTTTAACACAAAAAATTAAAAGAAAAGAAAATAAAGCAAAAACGCCAAATTCCATAGCCATTGTTCTTTTTCTTCCTAACCATTCAATTAATATAGCAGTTAAAATTAAACCCGGAAATTCTGAGAAAGTTGTTGATATCTTTTATTTAAATTAATAAGTCTTGATTAATTTACTAAATAATTACCAAATCAATATAATCTTTTTTAAGAAGAGGTTTACATTCTAAAATTATTGGGGTTTCTGTTACTGAGTTATTTATTGAATTATTTATTTGCTTTGATATTCCGCCATGACATTCATCCCCAGATTGGAAAAGTACAGTTGTTAGTAGAACAATACCTAATATTTAGAATAAAAGAATTGGTGACAGAATTCCTCAATTTTTTAAATGGAATTAAAGGGTTTTAAATTCAATTTAGGATATTCTAAATCTTTCTCCAACTTTGATAATTGTATAAATAGAAGAATGAGCCTTCACTAAGCTAATGTGGCATGCGAAGCGGATAGAAATAACTTGAGTGACCGAACTTCATCAGCAGGGGTTCGCCCGGCCATGATTAAATTTCTTAAATTTTTGGCGTTTGGCGTGTTTTAAAATTTTGAAAAATTAGCAGTTGGAGTGTCACGCGAAATTTTTCGCGTTTTCAATATTTTTTATTATTTTTTTCTTTTAAAATTTAACATTATATAGTAAATTAAATTAACCATAATAACAAAAAGCATTAACTGTCCACAATATCCAAAGCCTAAAAGTTGTTCCGGCAAGCGTTGGTGAAAATAAATCGGTTAATTTCCCCCGTCCATTTATTGTTGCTTTATTCCCTTCAATTAACCTTCCAGGAGGCAAAGAACGTCTATTTAATTTAGCAATTCTTTGTAAACTCGAAATTGCTAAATCTGGCCTTCCAGCAGCTACAAGATAACGAGCACTTTCTGGTAACCACTTTTTTAAAAAATAATTTTTAGAACAATTTCTTCTAAAATTATAACTTACAAGACAAGAAATAGAAAAAAGTGCCAAAGGTAAAGAACTTAACAATAAAAGCCAACGCCATCCCCAACCTGCTGACATAACAAAAAATGCTAAAATAGCCTCAAATGAGGCCCCAATTGCCCAAAATGATTCAATAAATACAACACATTTTGCTCTTTGTGCCAAAGGTAAAAATTCGGCAAATAAAGTAACACTTGAGAAGAAAATTATTTTATTTTCAAACAATTATTACGCTTGTGGAATTCCTCCAATTCCAACTCCAGTAAGTCCTCTAAGTACCAAAAATAAATGAAAATTTGGGGCTGCTGCTGAGAGAACACCCATTGCAAATGTGAGAAGTGCAGCAGATAAAAGACCTTTACGACGACCAAAACGATCACAAAATTTACCCCAGGCTGTGGAAGAAAGCATCATTCCAGAGAAAACACAAGTTGTTATTAATGCCTTTTTCAAATTAATTATTTTAAATAAAAAGGGGGATAAGGATAATTGAGAAATTGATTATTCTAAATATAATTTACTGAATAGAAAAGAAATTTGGTAATATTAAATTTATATTTTATTCCAAACATTTAAAATTCAATACTTGTTGCATTGGAGTAATTGCCCATTCACAATAAAGTGATGGAGAAAGAATTGATAAAATCATAATTTCCATTGCATCTGCCATCCAAGCTAATCCAGTTAAAAATGCTAGTAAAATTTGAAAACGTCCAAAACCAAGAAATTCAACAGCATCATCTACAGTATATACATCAGGAACTCCATTTGTTGTTACTTCTTTTTTCTGATTATTTTGTCTTTCAATATTTACATTCACATTGTTTGTGTCTCCTCCTCCTTGACTGTTTGAACCATCTAAACCTTCATAATGTACAGAGGTTGTTGAATGAGAGGAGCCACTTTTTATTTCTTTTAATCTTAATTAATTCTGGATTTATATTTAGTTGAGTATGTGAGAGAGCTCTTTGAGGAAGCCTCGCAAAATTAAAGACTAAAAATTTGGGTCTGAATGATGAGAACTTGCAAATTTCCAACCATTTTTCGTAAGCTTATTGAGGAAGAAGGAAAGGAAATATGTAGAAATTTAAAATTAGAAAAAAACTTTACTGATCAATGATATTTGAAGCTGTTAAACTAGAATATGTGTCAGTAAGTTTAGATGCTTCCAATACTTCAGTTAAAATTGCTTTGTCTCCCATTTTATTTTAAAATAATTTTAAATAAATAAAAAAAGTACTTTTAAATATTTACATTTAAATATTTTAAAAAATATTTTGATCCTTTATTTAAAAAATTGAATTGAATTAAATTGAATTTATATAAAACGTGGAAATGAAAAAAAATATATAAATTGAGAATAAAGAATTAGAACATTTTTCTTTCAAATAATAAAGAATAAATAAATGTTAAACAAACAAAAATTAATAAAATAATTTAAAAGAAAATATAAAAATTTTATAAAAATATTTTGATCCTTTCTAAAAAATCCTAAAACTATCTAACTATGGGTCAACTATCTAAATATGGGTCTAACTATAAGCCACGAACTGAGTTGAGTGATGGCAGATTGAGAAATGAAAAATAATAAAAGGACCTAAGTTAATTAGGATATAATTTTTTGTATATTTTATTATTTAAATTATGTAAGTCAGATAATAAACTTTCTATTTTATTGGAGAATCAAGAGAGAAAAATATTCAGAAAAAACTTCATTAAAGGAACACGAATAAAATAATATAATTAAATATAGAGAATGTTGTTTAGCTAATTTTATATACAAAAACAAATAACCAGCCTTTTAAAGGCAGACAGCTGGCATTTTTTCTTCCCATTCCAAAATACACAATATTTCCTTTCATTTTCATTTTTGTCTATTTTCTTGGCTTTAAATAAATGAAAATAGAAAGAAAATTCCAAGTAAAATAACCAAAAATATATTTTTCTCTATATGGAAGTAGTTATCTATTTTTTATAGCATACACATATATATTTAATGCTTACAAACTAGAATAAGCAGAAACAGAATGAATGGCATTTTATTTTAATTTGAGTAAAAAATGAGGAAAATTTTAAATTAATTTTTATAACCCAAAAGACCAATAAATTGTGAAAATAATTAAAGAGAAAAATTTAAATAATATACTAATTTACTTTTTAAAATAAATTAAGACAAATCATGTTCCTAAGGATTAAACCATTCTTGAGGTACTAGATGTGATTTGTTTCTTGAAATAACTTCTGCTATAGAGATATCTAATCTCTCTTCGTCAGATAAAAGTAGTTTATAGATAATTGTAAAAGGAAGCTTAAATACAAGTAGCTTAATATAAATTATAAAGAGCTATAATTTTAACAATAAAGAGGAAAGTAAAAAAATTTCCTCACGGAAACTCGGCGGGATCCCGGTAGATTTGTGAATGGGGTTACTGGGACTTAGGGGATTAATCCCGCGGGATCCCGTCCCGTACGAAATGTTGAAAAAAATCCAGTTACGGGATCCCGGGAATGCGATTTTGCCGCACTCTAATTAAATAATATACTGTATTTACCATTTTCTTTTACTATTTAAAGACTAATTAGTAAAACAAAATTCAAATTTATGTAGAAAATTATGGGACTTCTCATCTTTTTCTTTTTGTTTGTGTTTGTGTCAACAACAACCGCAAATGAAGCGACAATTAATGCAACAACAGAATCTTCCATAATAGACATCAATTCAAATCTGGTCGGAAACCCTCTAAAAACAGGGAATGGGAGTGTCATTAATCTCGTAAGTTTTTTTAAAAACTAAGCAAAGAAATAAATCAAAAAATTTATTTTAGTGTGCTCAACATGAATGTTATGAATTGTTAAAGCGTGAACTCGACTTGGTTGGGAATATTTCAAAAGGAGAAAGGGATTGTAAAGCGGCATTGGTTGAATCAGAAAGTGGCCATGAATTTTGGAAAGTTTTTGGAATTGTGTCTATTATTCTAACGATATTAAGTTGTTGCTGCTGTTATTGTTGTTGCTATTTTTGTTCTTATCTAAATTCTCGTGAGGAATATCGAGTTAAGTTTTTCTCCTCAGATTAAGATATTGTAAATTGTTAGGATCTATTGTTTGAGTATATGTATATTGTATTTATGTGATATTAGATTTATGTGATAAATTTTTGTATAGTGAAAAATGAAAAAATTGACTGGACTTTTTTGTGAATCAAAAAGTAAAACATGCGAGAAGTACCATCCGGTGCTTCTACCATTTACAAAAATTTTTGATCCTCCCAAAGTAAAGTAATTTTAAACGCATTGTAGATTCCAACGTTGAAATGGCTGATTATAATGACATTTGATCCCATTTTTAAATCTTTCTCTTCCTTCTTGTTATCTCTCGTTTTCTAGACTTGTCAAAGTGTCGAATGATTCATTTGTAGTTTTATTGATATTTCTTATTTTATAATGTTTTTATAAATAAAATTTACTTAATTTCGATTAAAATTGACTGCCGGAATGGATCCAAATCTGAATGAAATGAATGTGGCGGAAGATCATTTAAAGGAATCGTTAGAAGTTATGTATAGTGATATATACAAAAAGTTTGTGTTTTTTTATAATTTTATTTTTTGATTATTTAAATTTAGATATATTCGAGATATTCAACGGCAAAGTTATTTATGTGCAGCAGATTGTTGTAAAAATTTGATTAATCAAAAAGAAGTTGCTAAATGTTCTGAACAATGCCAGGATAAGCTTCGTAAAGTTTTTGACAAATTTGATCAGGAATCTGAGGCTATGAATGTTTGCTTTTATTTTTAAATAATTTTATTTAATTTTAAATGATTTTTAGAATCATTTGGCCAGAGGAATTATGTCATGGTAATTTTTATAGAATATTATTCCTTTTTATTAAAATAGGTGGTAAAAGTTACCGAGATAAAATAAAACTATTCATTTGGGTTAATAACATTCTAGTAACATTTTTAGCTTCTGAATTTCTATTAACTAGAAGGGTTTTTTAAAGTAAATCATTCCGTTATAATTTTCAATTCCAAAATTTAATTATTTTTAAATTTGTTAAATGTAGTGTAATTTTTAAAAATTAATTTCAACGTTTATTTTTAGTCAAGAAAAGGAGCGAAAGAAATATAATCGTGATTATGTTAAATTGAATCCTTCAGAGAAAAAGGAATTTGATGAAGGTTTTACTAAATGTGCTGTTAAATGTTTTGAAGAAAGTACGAATGATTTGACTAAATTGAAGGAACGTTTATTGGCTTTTGTTAAAGATATTTAGATAGAAATTGTTTTAGATAGAGTTGCAGCCTGACCCTTGTTAAGGTTGAGATGTCGGAGTTTGTCAAAATGTTAACTAAATTATTTATTCGGCCAAAAATTAATTTTTTTATCGCTCGATTATGGAAATATACATAGAGCGTTAGATAAGAAATTTTTATTTTGGATTTGATTATATTGGATGAAATTCGCCTAGTTGGATGTGTAGATTGCCAATGAGCTAGAATTTCTTTTTTGTTTGGGTTACTCGGTGTCGGGCTGCAACACTAGTTTTAGTGATTTAAGGTTATTTTTGAGTTCTTTCTTTTGTTATAGACCAATTTATTGTCTTTTTGAATAAATATGTTTTTAGAAATTGTTAATTTTGAATGTTTTTGTAACATTGAAATATCTTTTATTTTTTTATCAATTTTTATTGTATAATTTTAGATAAGAATTTCTAAAATAGATCAGAAATGCGATTTTGGCCATCTATTTTTGTTCTTATTTTAATGAGGATTTCACATTGTTCAATTGTCAACATTGGAGATGACAAACCAATTGACCCTCTTAATGGTCGAATATGTGGTATTGGAGATATGAATAAAGACGGAAATACTGATTTAATTGTACAACAACGTACTGGAAGTCAAAATAAATTAGTCATTTATTTGCAATCAGAGGGAGCAGAATTTCGAAATGGGACACAGCATATTGATTTGGGGAAAGATGGGAATGATGTTTTTTGTAATGTTGGAGATTTTAACGGAGATTCTTGCCCTGACTTGTTTATTGTTTCGGTATGTCTTTTATATTTTTGATTGTTTTTCGATTAGGGTTTTTGCCAGTTATTTTGTGTTAGTTTATTAACCCTTTATTAGCAATTCGAACCCTATGATTGGCCCAAATAAAGTTTTTCTTTTTCTTGTTTGTAACTTTATTTTTTACAGAAAATCGATGATACAAGTGTCAGTTTTGTCAACAAAATTGCAAGCGTTTTCTCCCCTCGTCCTCCAACTCGTTATCAAGCAAAAGTTTATTTGAATGGACGAAATGACAATTTTGTTGAACTGCCTTTGTGTTTTAAAAATACTGATTCTTCAAAATCTGATATTTGTACTCCTTATCAATTTATTGATCACCCAAGTCTTGTTGACATAAATGGAGATGGAATTACTGATATTATTGGATTTCAAGCAATAATTGAAAATTCTGACAAAAACGCCGCTACAAATTCTGAAAATTCTTTTGTTTGTCTTGCGGGAAATTTTCAAGAAGATGTTCATGGATTTGATTTGAAAATATGCAAACAAAACTTTCCTGTTCCAAGACAAGTCTTTACTGGTTTTACACCAATTTTTACTGATTTGGACAGAGATTTGTCCGCAGAATTAATTTTTGTTGATCAAGAAGAGAATAATTCAAGTGGACAGAAAAAACGTTTAGTTGTTTGGAAATATAAAGAATTTACTGATAGGTAAATAATTTTTATTCAAAATATTTTTTAAATTAAATTTTTAAGTGATCATTTTAAATGGGAATTAAATAATGAACTTACTGTTGACCTTCCAAATACAGAAAAGTCACAATATTTAGCAAGTCCATTAGTTGCCGACGTTGACTCTGATGGTTTCCAGGAAATTCTTGTTCCCATATGTGATAGTAAAGAATGCTCTTCAGTCTCTACTATTTGGTGTTATAAATTTAATGAAACACTTAACAAAGCACAATGGCGGACAATCTCTTTAGACTTTGGAAATCAGGTTTTCAACAATTCATAAGATTATCATTGTTTTTATTTAGAAGGCAACCATTTATCCAGAAGCAGACGGAGATACACGAGTGCTTTTCCGCATTGGCGATTTTTCTCAAAATGGTTTTCCTGATTTAATTGCAACAATTTCATTATCTGGTGGAATGAAGGTTCCTTTGATTTTGGAGAACGTTATCGACACTAATACAGCTGCAAATTTTAATAGGTATTATTTCAATTATTAATTTAAGATGTTCGTCTAATTTTTTTAAAGAAAATATGAACTCTCAAAAAAGCCACAAAGAATTCTTCAAAAAGATGTACAAAATGTTCGGCTATCTGCATTTTTTGATTTAAAAGAGGATGGAAATTTGGATATTATGTACGAATATGAGGGACCTAATGGACCAATGATCAATTTTATCAAATGTGACGATAAAGGCGATACAACTTTCTTGAAAGTACAAATCTTCACTGGTCCTGAATGCTCTTCCGGACAATGCTGTGATCCTGAAACTGAATCATCTAGACGAGTGAAAATTGGTTTATTTTAATAGAAAGTTCTATTCATAGCTTTGTTTTATTCAAAGGTAGTGGAATTGCTTGGCAAGGTGCTTGTGTAAGTATTCGAATGGCGGACTCTGGCCAAGGTTTAATCGAACAAGGGATGCGTAATGCTCTTCAATGTCAAATTCCTCAAACATCTCACCGCATCTTGCACAATCCTTTTGTGCTCTTTGGCCTTAGCCGTTCACCTAATTTTGTTGAAGAAGTTCATTTAGGTGGTCCTCGATGGCCAGAACTAGGCAAACTGCAGAAGGACTTTATTAGACAAATTGTGCCTAATTCCCGTGTTATTGTGATTCCTCCGGGACTACAGGACAGAAGCGCAAACTGGACAAGTAGACTTTATGTTACTCCTTCGCGTTTAATTATTCTTTCTATGTTGGTTTTTTAATTAAGAATGTTAGAATTAAAATGAATATTTATTTTTAGATTAGTTATGGTTTCTATGTGCATCATTTTACTAGTTTTAATTGCCGCTCTACATCTGCGTGAGAGACAACAAGATAAAAAGGAAAGGCAAGCTCAAACTCATCGATTTCACTTTGATGCAATGTGATATAAAAATTATTAAGTTTAAAATGTGTAAATATCCCATTTCTTCAAATTTTTCTATAATTTTTTGCTGCTCATTTCATTCCATACTAACATGATAAAATATTTGCCTTATAAAGGGTTGTCGCCAGATCTTTAAAGTTACTTTAGTTATTTTATCTATAATTGTGTTATTCTGGCGATTACCCTTTGTGTAATTTTAAGGAGTAGACCAATTACCGCGAGCACATTGCACCGTATGGATGTAATTTTGTTTAAAATTTAAACCCGGACGCCCTAAATGGTTTGATTCAGCTCGTCGACGAGCATTGACACTTGACTGTGATTCTGAAATTCCTGCGGTGCATCTGAGTGTCACCGGTTTATCTCTATTTTTGTGACCTTTCCCGATGGTTAGTCTCATTTTCTAAAATTCTTAAAACCGTGTAAAATCATTTTTTAAAATTATATAGTTTGCTATTCTTATATATTGCTATTCTTATACATTTAAATTGTCCCATTTTATTGCTTTACACTTATCTATTTTATAAAAATACTAGAATTACGTATATTAATTCATGCAAATGTTTTTATTCACTTTTATATTTTTTATTTATTGTTTAATTAAATATTTAATTTCTTTGAGATGCTCATCTCTCGCCGGTTTCTTCATTCTTCTTTTAATCGTTTGAAAGATTATTATAAAATACTTGGTGTTCCTAAATCAGCAAGTGATTCTGAAGTTAAAAAGGCTTATTATCAGGTTTAAATTTAAAGAAATTTTTTTAAATCGGAATAGGATTATGTTATTTATTTTTCAGTTGGCAAAGAAGTACCACCCAGACGTTAACAAAGAAAAAGGTGCTAGTGAAAAATTTCAAGAGCTTTCAGAAGCTTATGAGGTTGGTTTTTAAAGTTCGATTTTAAAATTGATTTCTGATGGCGGTAAACTATAATGATTAGTGTTGGTCAAACGCGATTTTTCGGTATCGGTATTTTCGGTAAAATACCGATACCGAAAAAATACCGATTTTTTAAAAATTGTTCGGTACCGTATTCGGTATCGGTATTTCGGTAAAAATACGGCGGTATTACCGAAAAATACCGCCGTAATACGGTACCGTGACTAACACTAATAATGATAAAACGAATATTTATTCAGGTTTTGAGCGATTCGAAGCGGCGTTCTGAATATGACAATTTTGGTTCGCCAGGTTCTGCTGGACCCCGGGCGGGCGCTGGTGGCAGTCCTGGTCAAGGAGGATTCGGCGGAAGTTGGGAATTTCGTTCAGGGCGTTCGGCTGAACAAATGTTTATTATTTTCTTTATAAGTTTTACTATATTTTTTAAGATTTCGTGAAATCTTCAGAGATTTTGATCCTTTTGGGAAAGGTGGATTCTCCACTAATTCACGCGGTCAATTTGCTGAAAGTAGTTATGGATTTGATGCGGCACAGGAAGCTGCAGGTTTATAAATATAATTCTCACAATTTTCCAAGATAATACTTTTAGTTAATATCACATTTGAGGAGGCGTGTAGAGGTGTTCGTAAAGATTTGAGAATAAATGTTGTCGACGCTTGTGGCGCGTGTAAAGGAACGGGAGTTGAGCCGCCATATAAAAAGGTATCTTAAGCATTTTTATATAAGTGGTGAAAGATAAAATTAAATTACAATATTGAAAAATTATGTGAGTAGAAAATTATGTAATCTAAACTCCGAACCGCTTAAGATTAACCGATTTTGTGCTTTAAAATTAATAGGAAAATAAAGCTTCGTATTTTTCAATTCAAAATTATTTTTAGGTTTCTTGTCCTTATTGTAATGGTACTGGAATGGTAACTCAACATACACAAGGATATTTCATTCAAACAACTTGGTATCTACTTATATATCGATCCTATAAATAAAAGCACAAATTATAATTAAGCTCTCGTTGTGGTGGGCATGGATCTTATAATAAAAATCCTTGTATTGAATGTGAGGGGCATGGCCATTCTGTTCAGCAAAAAGCTTTTACAATTGATATACCCGCTGGGATTGATAGTGGACAGATTTTGCGTACACAAGTTGGAAGGGTAAAAGAATAATTTTTGTAAAATTAATTTTAAATTTCTATTCTTTCAGTCAACAATTTATGTTGTTGTCAACGTTTCACCTTCACGAATACATCGACGTGAAAGTGAAAACATTTTTACTGATGTTGAGATAACTTTTACTCAGGCAGCATTAGGTGGTACTATCGACGTGCCTGGAATTGTTGGGACATCGAAAGTGCATATTCCGGCTTGTACTAGTTCTCATACACAAATGTGCCTTAAAGGGAAGGGAATTAAACGGCTTGATCAGCCTGGTTATGGAGATCAAATTTTGAACATCAAAATTGGAATGCCCAAGTGGGGAAGATTTTTTATAGACAATTATTTTTATATTATAAATTCCTTGACACTTATTTTAATAATATATGCATATATCAAGGGCGTAGCCAAGGGGGGGGGGCTTCTGGGGCTAAAGCCCCCCCCCCCCCCGAAATGGGGAAAAGGGAAAAATTTGGGGAAGGCGTTGGGCAAAAAAGTGAATTTTTTTGGCCTACGGCCTTCGAATTTTAAAAAATTTTCGCCTGCGGCTGAAAAAGGAAGAAATCTGGCCTTTTGAGCTCCAGAATTCAAAAAATTTTCGCCTGCGGCGATGAAAAAGTGAAATTTTTTCGCCTACAACCTCAAATTTAAAAAAATTTTCGCCTGCGGCGCAAAAAATGGAAGAAATCTGGCTTCTCGAGCTCCAAAATCCTCAAAATTTTCGCCTGCGGCGCTAAAAAAGTGAATTTTTTTGGCCTACGGCCTTCTAAAATTCAAAAAATTTTCGCCTGCGGCGCAGAAAAGATGAAAATTTATGAACAAAAAAATTTGCGTCCGGAACGCCAAGGTAAACGCCAAAAATTTTGCGCCCACCTAGTGTTAGCCCCCCCCCCCCCCCCCCCCCGAAATCGACCCGCTGGCTACGCCCTTGGCATATATACTTAGTTTTAAGCAACGAAAATAATTTTAAAAATAAATTTAAATAATGTATTACCTAATTTTTAATTAAATTTCAAATATTTTTTTAATTAAAAAATTTTCTTTAGGAAATTATCATCAAAAGAAAAACATTTGTTAATGGAAATTGCTAGAAATGAATCAGGTCGTTCAGGATCAGTTGATGGAATGGATACTGAAAGAAGTACTGAAGGAGGAAGTACATCTAGTGATAAGAGTGAAGAAGGAGGAGGTGGAGGATCTTCAAAATTTTCTTTTTCACCTGAAAAAATACTTAAAAGTTTTATCAAATAATAATTCATGTTTTACACACATTTTTGTTTATTCACAAAAATTGTTTTATTGTTGCGTTTATCTATTTTAATGTTTTAGGTTTTGCTCTCTATTTCTTTTTTAATTCGTTTATTGTTTTGATCAAAATATTTTTTAAACGGATTTTTGTTATTTTTTGTTAGAATCAAAAAATTATCCAAAAAAATAAATTCTATTTTAGAGGGAAAAATATATTGGGTTTTAAATGACGTTTTTAAAGCCTTCCGGAAGATTATCCGTTATAGAGGGAGGGGGTTGAATATTTCCAAAACAAACTATTATAGTAATTCTTTTGTCATTTTCCCTATCTGCTCTGTTTATATTCACCGTTTTTATTTTAACATTGGTGAATGGGGCGAAACGGTTCCGGTGTTGATTTTGTTGAGACTTTCATTGCCACTTAAGAACAACCGTTTGGCGCCATGAAAGTTTACACAAAAATAATACTTTGCCTTTCATTGTAACCATTTGTGTATATTTATAATGTAATTTACAAGCGTGAGAATTTAAAAAAGTTAAATACTAATTTCTGTTCGGCTTTAAATTAGTTATGCTTCTCCAAAAATTTCTAAACCTTAATATTAGATAATCCCTATTGTGTACTTACTGATTTTGAAAATTTTTAAAATTAAAATTCCATGTTTTATTTTTCCTAAATACCGCCTTTTTAAGTTTAGAAATATTTTCATAGATCTATTCAAAGATAACAAATGCGGTTGAAAAGCTTTTTTGCTTGCTTAGGTTTTATGTTAAATGATCGCTGCTTTGATTTGGCTCAACGGAAATGACTACAATTGTTTATGGGAAGCAATGGAATTAATGAAAAGGGCTTAAATATTTATTTACTTCCGATTTAGAACTCCCAGTTTTTTTTTCTCCACATATGTATCTAAAACTACGTTGTATATTTACATATATTTTTAGTCCAAATCAATTTAACATTTTTATCCAATTTATTTTTCAAATCATTCTGAAACTCCCACGGCTTGAAGATGGAATGACTAATAAGGGTTTAATAAATATGTATATTTATACCGGATTTACTATCACCATACATACAATACAATAAACAAAAAATATATACAAACACCAACAATAGAATATAGGGGAAAGATATACAATGAGAGGCAATTAATTATTCATCCAAAAAATCCTTACAATACAATATATTATCACAATCTTCTTACAATTCTTTCCTTCATTTCTTCTTTCCCTTCTTGCTGCCGAGACTTGCTGCGGTCTCCGCTGAGCGCGTCTTAGCGGACTTGCCTCCTTTGCCTCCCTTAGCACCCTTCGCTGGGCTCGGTCCAGATCCCGCATCCGGTCCAGCTCCTGCTCCACCCGCAGCTTTCTTCTTGTTCAGAAACTCGCTTAAGGCCTGAAGAAGAAAAAACAAAAATTTTTGTTTTAATTAACGAAGACAAATAAATTAAATTAAAACCAAAAACTCACAAATCCAGCAGCGCCGAAGATCAGAGCAAAGATGATGTACATCAAGAACCCCATTTTTTGTTTGTAGAGATGTGAAGAGTTTGGGAAGGACGATGAAGATTTTTTGGATTTTGTAGTGTTGTTGAGGATATTGGCGGGACTAGGCTTTTATATTAACTATTCTTATCAAACATTTAACGTCCATTCTACATTTATTTATGACAACTTAATATATTATCAAAATACATGAAATTTTAAGAAAAGTCCCCCCATTAATATCCAAAAACTACTAACAACATATATGTATATAATTATTACTTTGAATGAGTTTTTAAAGAAGAGAACGTCCGCCGGAATTTCTATAAAGAAATAAAAATACTAGAGGTTCTTTTCTTTAATTTTTTTCTTCTTTGCGGCTTTTTTAGTCTTTTCTTATTTCAATTTTTTGTAAGGATGCGCGAAAATAATGAGACAGCATTATGACTTTTTCGATCCAAATAAAAATAAGGAGGAAATTTAACATTTTATTGTAGTTATATTTATTTTCAAAAAATTCTTTTAACTTATAATTTTTTTAAAAATATTTTAATATTTTTATACTCTAATTATTTTATTTTTCTTTTAATAAAAATATTATATATATATTAGTTTTAGATTTATTTATACCTAATTTATTTAATTACCGTATTTACTCGATTAATTCCCCACCCTCGAATAATTCCCCACCCTCTATTAATTCCTCATGCCCGGGGTGAGTTGAAAAAATAATTCCCCACCCCCAAATACCCTAATACACGTTCAAAATTCAAAACTCGAATAATTCCCCACCCCCTATTAATTCCCCATGCCACGGAGGGGTTGAAAAAATAATTCCTCGGGGGAATTAATCGAGTAAATACGGTATATGAGTAACGTTGTATGTACTACTGATGAAAGAATAAAATACAAGAAAATCTCTCTATGTTAATTCTATTCAAAACCTTTTATTTAGTTTTTTTTTTCACAAATTTATCTAAAATACCTTTGATTTATTTTTTAAATTTATTTTATAGTAACATAATCTACCTATTTTGTTTCCTATACTGACTTTTGAATTTTCGATTACCTAAATATTTATTTTATTTTTTTAATCTCCTCATATTTATCATTAACCACAAATTCTTTAATTTTTCTTCCAAATCCTAAAAATCATTTTCCCAAGATCCATCGACCATAAAAGTATTAAAAATAAAGAATTGAATGACCGGTCAAAGAAAAATAAATATATTTTCTGTTTGAATTCTTTCTGTAGCATCCGGTCACTTTTCCAAAAAAAATTCCCATAGCCGTTCCATTTGGCCGATTCTTTTTTTAATTGTTTTCTTCTTTTTTTCTATTCAATTGTGTTTATTTTTATTGTTTTCACAAATTAATTTAAATAATTATTTAATTAATTAATTTTTATTTTCTTTTTTTTCTGCCATTCTCTTGCTTGCTTTTCTCCTTAGCCATTCAGGCGGCAGACAGAATTTTAATAAAAAAATATTTAATTTAAGAAGAAATCTCAAAACACAGCAAGGGGATTGACTCTGGGAATCAAGACTGTTCTTATCCTTCCAATCTTTTATCACACCCGACAGGTGGGTTTCTTTTTGGTTTATCAAATAGGCTGGGGAGGGGGGGGGGGTTTGCCGGCCTTACACAGAGAAGTTAATTTATTTTTAAAAAAATTTCCGGGGAATAAGGGCTGTAAATTTGGCGCGGTTTGATACTACTGGTACCGGAAAACTTTATAATTTTTAATACTTAATTTAATTAATTTTAAAATTTCTAAATAAAAATAATTTTCTCATTATTAATTTTATAAAATAAATATCCAATCAGAATTCGCGGCCATTCCTTCGCCATTATATATTTTCTTTTTTTTTGTTATTATTACTCATAGACAACCGTAATTTATTTTTATCTCTCGATTTTTATTCTCTGTTATTTTTATATTTAAAAATATTTTCTCTATTTTTTAATTAAACTATGTATTCTTTTTTCTTTTAAAAGAATTTTCTTTTTAATTTTTTAAAAAGAAAATCCTTTTACTTTTTTTTTTACAAAAAAAAATATATTCATTTTCTCTCTCTAAATTTAATTAAAAAATGTCATTTTGTTAATCTAATTATTTAATCTTTAAAACCAAATATATTTATTTAATAAAAAAAACTGTATTTATTTATTTATTTATTTATTTATTTATTTATTTATTTACTATATATCTATAACCAGTTTTTATATATTCCAACTAAATATTTATACATTGCAACGGATAAATTGAGTGTCCGTCCCTCTCTTTTTTAAATTATTTTCCCGCCCCCTTTTCTCAAATACTTAAAAATAATTGCTGTATTTATTTATTTATTTATTAGCTGGTTGTTGCGCGATTTCTTAAATTTGGAGAAATAAAAAAGAAAAAATATTTTTAAGGATTAGAAATAAATAAAAAAATAGTAATTGAGACTAAAAAATTGAGAAGGGAAGGAAGATGTTTAAAAAGAAAATTTATTTTTAAAAAATATTTTTTTCTTTTAAATTAACAAAAAAAAACTTTTAATTTCCTCTAAAAATGCGCGAACAATTATTTTATTGCCCCTGAAATTATTTATTTGACCTTTTTTAGATTAACTAAAAGTCTCCCCTCCCCTCCCCCTCAATTAATTACATATTTATTTTCTCCCCCTTAAATTCTTCTTCTTTTTTTTATCTTAATTATTTACTTTCTTTTAAAGAATATTTCTTTTGTTTTTAGTTCTCTTGACTTTTTTTTTGTTTTTTTTTTGTTTTTGCCTCTTTTGTGCCAATAAGTAAAGAATATATTTTTAAAAAAAGGAGTGGTAAAAAGGTTAAAAATAAATTATTTTATTTTTATTTTTTGCCGCTTTTTACTTAAAAATTATTTTCACAAAAATTTTTAAAGGAAATACTTTTCAAGTATTTTTTTGATTTTCCATTTATTTTTTTAGTTTTTAGAAATATTTTCTCGAATATTTTTTATTAACTTCCTTTATTTTTTCTTTTAAATAAAACCGAAATTATTGAATAATAAAGGTATGTATGGAAAAAAGACATGGAAATATATGTTGTTTAAATAAATAAATATTGTTAAAATAATTTTTGATATTCGAAATTTTCTGAAATTAATTTTCTTTTTTTTTCTTAAAATTATTGAAAAAATCTCTAATTCTATTTATTTTTTATTTACCTCATAAATAATTAAAAAAACTTTGTTATTTTATTTTTGTCAATTAAAATTCCTCGCATTTTTCCTCTAATTACAAATTTTTTAAAATTATTTATAAAGGCGCCAACCTGATTTTATAGCTTCTAATTAATAATTTCTACGTAGTTTAAATATACTTTATTTTTTATTTTCTTTTAAAAATTTTCTAAAATAATTTAAATATTATTTTCTTTAATATTTTCATTCTTTTTTTGTTTATTTTCTAGTTTTTCAATACCGTTTCCACACAAAAACATTTTACACTTGAAACGGCCTCCTCCTTTCCCTCCCTCCCTCTCCTCTTCCCTCTTTCCTGCCTTTAAAACAGAAAAAATAAGAAGGAAGATGCTCGACCTTGAGGTGAAAAATAAAAAGAGAAGAGAAGAGGAGGCTATTTACGCGCTCACCTTTTTTGTCATTCCCCCCCCCCCCCCCCCCCTCCCTTCCTTTACTTTTCAGGAAAGTTATTTCATCCTTGAAAGGCGGAAGAAGTTTTGTTGAAAATAAAAGAAAATAATCAAACAAACAAAAAAATAATTTTTTTGTTAAGGAATGTGCTCATGAAACTTATTTTTAAAAGAAAAGTCTGTAGAGCAATTAAAGATTATAGAGGGAAAAAAGAAGAAGAAAAGAGTTTCACGAGAAAATAAAAATAAAATATAATCGTGCCAGTCCCCCCCCCCTTTCCGGAAATTTTTAAATAAAAATAAAAAGAAGACAAGTAATTATTTCTATTAATTTCTTCTTCTTCTCTTCACAACACAGTAAATTACTTTGGCGACTTACCGGTTGATGCGCACAATTTTTTAAAATTATTTTCAGATTTTGGCCGTCTCTTTAAAGAAAAAGAAGGAATTCTTCTTTCAAACTATCTTCTTAGTTCTATTAAATATTAATTATTATTTTTCTGTTAAAAAACTGTTTAAAGACTTGATATACGTATTTTTTAAAATTTATTTATAAAAATTTAGGTACAATGCAGTGCATAATTATTTTAAATATTTTTTCTTTAAATTCCGAAAATATTAAAAAATAAAAAAAAATTTTTTTAGTATATATCAGAAATATCAGAAATATATTTTAACATTTTTCTGATAATTTTTCATTCATTTATTTATTAGAGCTTTGAAAAAAAGAGTAAAGTAGAAGAAAAGGCCGTATAGTGTAACTGTGTCTTTCGTGTCCTCTCTCTTCGTTGATTGGCTGCCGCTAAACTATTTGGGAAAAAGAGATGTGTTAATTCCCTCCCCTCTCCTCTTTTTTTCTTTTACTTAGGCCTGGTAACAACTTTATTTTATTTATTTATTTCAGTTAAATATATATATTTCTCTCATTTTTCCATCTTTTATTTTCCGTTCTTCATTCTTTAATCGTTGCTATTCTACAAAAATATAAAAATTTTCTTATGGTAATTTTAACTTTTCATTTTTTTAATTTTAAAAATAAAAATAAAATTTATTAAGTTTTAGTTCTTCAAAAATTAAAATGTTCCCTCAAATAACCCCAATCCTTCCATTTCCACCAACTTCTTTAATTCCCCACCAATTTATTTTACAAAAAACAAATAATAATTTAATATTTCCACCAACAACAAAACAACAACAAATAATTAATAATTTAAATAATTTAAATAATATTCCACAAAAATCCTTAGAAATAATAAAAATTTTAAATCAAATATATTCTAATAACAATACAACAACAAATGAAATTAATAACAAAACAAATTTTATTTATTCTTTACTTTCTTTAAAAGGTTTTTTTTTAATTTTATTTGCCCCCCCCCCCATTAAATTTTGTTTTTTGGATTTCGAACATTTTTGGGCTTAAACCTTTCTTTTTGAGCTTTTATTAGCTTTTTTTGAGTAAATGATGGATTTATGAAATTCTGAAAAATTCTGTTATTAGCTAAAAATTAATAAACTGACTGATTGTTTCAGACCCAATGGCTATGTTTCCCAAACACCAAAAATTAATAAGGAATTCTAAACTACCTAACTACAAGAATAAAGAAAATTCAATATTTTAAACGAAACTTGGTCATACATTTGGTCTTCATTGGATAAGGCTTCGTTAGATCCTGTTTCCAATGACATAAAAATTGTTAAGACACAAAATTAATTTCTACACAAAATTAATTTTTCTCAATAATTTACAAAAATATTATTTTAAAGGATTAACACCAACACCAACAACATTACAATTACCAGAGAATACCTCCATTAATTTACTTCAAAATTCTCCTTTAAAACCAACAAATTCAGACATTTTAAAATCTTCAACTGGGCCAGCAAAAACATTAAAAAATGAAAATATAAAAAATTCCCCAGTCATTTCCCCATCTTCGTCAGCATTTTTTGTTGAACGTTTATTACCCCAAACTCCAACAAAAAATAAAGAAATTAATAGTTTATCGCCAACAGATTCATCATTAGCTACAAATTCTTCTTTTAATGATAGTAATATTCCACAAATTCAACGTCTTTCCCAACCGTCAGCCATATTTCCTGTAAATTAATTAAAATTTATAATTTGCTTCTATTTTTAAGAAAAATATTTTTTGATAAATTTGAATATTTCATCCTTCTAAGTAATTAAATACTTTTTATATTTAACAATTCAATATCTCTTTCTAAATCAAAATTTAATTAATTCCTGTATTTATAAAAATATTTATTTACTTTATTTAGAATTTGCCTTTATTGCCACAAACAACTTTAGTAAATGTAGCAGCTATTGCCGCAAAAAATGCTTCAACTTGTAATTGGGAGTATGTAAATGGAGGTTATGGTGTTAAAAATCCTTTACTTCAAAATGTACGGATGGAGAATTTTGAGGATTTAAATAATTCTAAACCTTCAATTACGTAAGTTTTAAAAACCTTTTACCCCTCTACATTATTTTCAAGATGTAGACTTAGAATTGTAGTCTTAGAATACTTAATGTACTAACCTAACTGTCTTAAAAATTTATAAGAAAACCGAAAACTAAATAAATAATAGCAAAATTAGATTCAACAATTAATGTATAAACATTAGCCCTCAACCCCTAATAGCTTTCCTAATTTAAAATCCAAAAAGTCCTCGAAAGTATATTTTTTAAACTAAAAATAAATAATTGTTTACTTTTCAGTAAAATCTCTTGTGAATCAAAATCTAATAATTCTTCTTTAAGTTGTCATACTTGTGGAAAGGTTTTTTTAATATTTAAAATTTTAAAATAATTTTAAATTTTTAAAAAGAAATTTCATTTACAAAGGTTATTAAATAGACATATAAAATGTCATTCTGATCTCAAACGTTATCTTTGTACATTTTGTGGGAAGGGATTTAATGATACTTTTGATTTAAAAAGACATACAAGAACACATACTGGTTAATTTTAAAAGAAATAAATATTTTTTAAATTTGTAATTAAAGGTGTCCGGCCTTATAAATGTAATTTGTGTGAAAAATCCTTTACTCAACGTTGTTCTTTAGAATCACATTTAAGAAAAGTACATGGCCAAAGTCATTCTTATGGTTATAAAGAAAGAAGAAATAAAGTTTTTGTTTGTGAAGAATGTGGATTTACAGCTCCAAATTATGATGATTTTGTTGGACATACACAAAGATTACACCCTTTAAGTGCTGCGCTAATAAAACTCAAAAATAATAATTTAAATAAAAGAATTGTTAGTAAATGAAAGGAAATAGAGGAGAAAATAAAGATAAATTTTAATAAAATATGTAGCAAAAATATTTTTATTCACATTAGCAATTTTTTATTCATTTTGGTTTATTTTGATGATAAATTTTAAAAAACTATATTTATGCTTAAGCTTGAGTATTCAACAATATAGGATTTATAAGCTTGGTTTAGCAACAATAAGGGATTATAGATTTTTGATCAATTTAAAGTTTTCTTATGTAATGATTTTTAAGGTTTAGAGATACACAGTTGTGTAGTTGGAAAATAAAGTAGATTAGGGTAATGGTTTGTTTGTTTCCCTGATCATTCGAATAATACAAAGATACTGAACAAAACTGTAAAGCTGAATCCTCGCTGGAAAATTTGTGTCCCTGCAATAGTGATGGTTGGGAGTTAAAAAAAGCCGAGATCGAGACTGAGAATCAACACCGAGACCGAGAGAGATTAAGAGGGATATCATTTTGATGACCCTCATAATCCCCAAAATCCCTTGAATCCCCAAATCCACAATATACCTCTTACTCCCTAAATCTCTCGATATCCACCATAGTCCACTGATACAAACAGTCATAACTTTGTTGATTTAACATAAGTCAGATTTCGTTGATGTTTTTGGCTTGCGTATAAATGGGTTTGTTGGCGAATAAATGGCCCAACAATGGGGGTGTGTCCCGCGAATAAATGGGATGGCTGCCAAAACTGCGGAAGTTCCAGTTTTTCTTTCACTTTCAGTTTTTTTTCATTTTCTTGATTTTTAAAGAAAAATATGTCATCTGATATTGAAGAAACCATAAAAAGGATTCAATCACAAAAAGGTGTTGTTGGTGTAATTATTATGGATAATATTGGTAAGTTATTTTAAAGATTATAATTCTAAAATATTTTTTAGGAAGAGCAATTCGTTCAACTTTGGATGATGAAACTACAAATCAACATTCGTTATCACTTCATCAGTTATGTGATAAATCAAAAAATACAGTAAAAGAAATGGATGCTTCTAATGATCTGACTTTTTTACGTCTTCGAACGAAGAAAAATGAAATTTTAGTTGCCCCAGATAAAGGTTTTTTTTGAAAACTGAAAAAAATAAATATTTTTTTTATTTTAAGAATATATGATTGCTGTTATTTACAAGGCTCCTGCTTAGTTAGAATATTTTAAATTTGCATTTTTTGTCCATATTTTATTGGATTTTTCCTTTTAAATGATAAAAATATAAATACATAAATATTTTGTTGAATAATTATGTATTAAAATATAAAAGACTATCTGTTGTTTTTGACTATTATCTGATAATTTTTAATTAATCTTTAATTCATTTTTGTTTAGATATATTTTTATTTTTAATTTATTCTTAGAATAACTTTGACACAATGTCATGGATATTTGGATTTAAGCAACCCCAACAGGGCTCTGTTCCTCAAGATGGTGCTTCACTAGAAAATGGTTTGTTTTTTATTAATTAACGGATGGATTAATGATTTTGTAGATTACGTTAATTCAAACAATTTTAAGATAATCGTAGTCAAGCTGCCGGGTCAGCTCAACAGCAACAAGAAATAGGTGCAAAAACAGCCTTTTCCTTTGACTCGACAGCTCTCGAAAGAGCGGCCCAGGCAGCAAAGTCGTTGGAAAAATCTTCAAATGCAAAACAGGCTTTGGAACTTAGTCGATTACAAGAGGTATCAAAACAAAAAGAATATGAACTTCAACAAAAGGTTTTCTTATAGTTTTTAGATTTTAAAATTTAAATTTAGCAAATTGAATTGCGTATGGCTTCAATACAATCTGAAAACATTCGAGTAGCTGAAGAAGAGAGGCGAAAAACACTTATTGAGGAGACAAAGCATTCCAGAGCGGTTATTTTTAAATTAATTTAAAATTGTTTTTTGTTATTTTTTTGTAGCGTGCTGATTATCAAGATCAATTGGCTCGTAAACGACAAGAAGAAGATGCAGCTATTAAAGCTAGATTGCAAGAAGAGTCACTTAGAAGACAGGAGGAATCAATTAAAAAACAGGAGGCGATGCGTAAAGGTTTGATTTTGGATTATAATTAAAAATTGTTTTTAAATCTGGGTAGTTGATTTTAACTGGTTTTTCTAGTAGGTTTAGCAAGTTGAATTGCGCAAAACTAATTTATTGTTTTATCACTTCATCCTCATTTACCTAGGTATAGCTTTCATAAAATTCTGGATTTATTTGCTAAGGAAATTATTATCCAAACCTCTTTGTCACTATTCATATTTTGATTTATTTTTATCTTTTCTAGCAACAATTGAGCACGAACTCAGCCTCAGACATAAACTCGATTTAGAACGCATTGAAACTGAAGTTAAAGCAAAAACAAAATCTGCGCGTGAAAATCGAGACGTTAATTTGGAGATGATGCGTGCAAGTGAAGAGGAAAGACGTAAGACAATTATGGAACAAATTAGAACTGCGGGAGGTGTTCTTGGCGCTGGCTTTCAAGAATTTATTGGAGATAGGACAAAAATTGCGACAACTGTATATTTTTTTAATTTAAAAGATTTAATTTTTTAAGCATTAATATCGTACATATCTCTCTTTAAGTTTAATCGTAGATCCTTATAATTTTAAGATTTTCTGTTTAAATTTTGTTTTAAAAATCCTAGGAGTAATATTAACTAACAAATAATCAAATCTAAAAATTATAATTTTAGGTTGGTGGCCTCACACTTCTTGCTATTGGTTGGTATTCTGCCAAAAGAGGAACAGACGTTGTCGCTCGTTATGTTCAGGCTCGTTTGGGAAAACCTTCCTTAATTCGCGAAACCTCAAGAATGACACCTTTTGAAGTAGCAAAGCATCCTTATTCGGCTTTAAAACAAATTTTTAGACGTGGTGATGATCCTTTGAAAGGAATTATTTTAAGTGTATGTTTTTGTTTAATTTATAACAAAATTAATCTATAAATTTTTAAGCCAAAATTAGAGTCTCAATTACGTGATGTAGCAATTACAACAAGCAACACTAAACGAAATTATGGCCTATTCAGGAATGTTCTTTTGCATGGACCGCCTGGGACAGGAAAAACTATGTTTGCAAAAGTAGGGTTTAACATTTTAAATTCAATTAAAATTTTATATGGCTGATCTTTCGGCTTCGCTTTTCCATCCTACAGTTATTTTTGGTGCTCATATCCACTAAAGGAAGTCAGAATCCTAATCTCTTACAAAATTTTCATTCTCTAATTTTCCCATTTTTCTTCAATTTTACAATGTTTAGTGCCATCTTTACTTTTTTTATTCTAGAGTTTAGCACGTCATTCTGGACTTGATTATGCAATAATGACTGGTGGTGATGTTGCACCAATGGGTCGAGATGGTGTTTCTGCAATACATAAAATCTTCGATTGGGCTCAAACTTCAAGAAAAGGCCTTGTTTTATTTATTGACGAAGCTGATGCATTTTTACGTAAACGAAGTACAGAACAAATAAGTGAAGATATGAGAGCTACTTTAAATGCTTTTCTTTTTAGAACTGGAGAGCAATCAAGAAAGTAATTAGAAAAATAAAAAAAATTTTAAAGGAAAATGTTTTTTTCTTTAGGTTTATGTTAGTTGTTGCTAGTAATCAACCAGAACAATTTGATTGGGCAGTTAATGATCGTCTTGATGAACTTGTTGAATTTGATTTGCCTGGTTAGTTTAAATTAGAAATGAAACAAAAAATGGGATATCTTTGTTTAATTTTATTAATTACACGAATGTGAACAAGAAATCACTCCCAACTTAATGTCAAAAAATTTTAAATAATTTCTTATCTAGTCTGAATTATCCATGCTTAACATATTTTTGTGTTTATTTTAACCAAAGATTATTTAATCAGAAAAATTAATTTAAAAATAATTTTAAAAATTCAAGGTGATGTTGAAAGAGAAAGACTTCTACTTCAATATTTTAAAGAATATATTGCTGACCCAGCAACATCTGGATCACGGCGACAACGTCTTAAACTTGGAAATTTTGAATGGATTCCAAAAATGAAAGAAATTGCTGAAAAAACAAAAGGAATGTCTGGTAGAGAATTGTCAAAATTAGTTTTTGGATGGCAGGTAAAAATATAATTTTAATACAGAAATTTTTTTAAATTCTTTAGGCATCTGCATATGCATCAGAAGATGGCATTTTAACTTCAAAAATGATTGACGAATATAGTGATCAAGTAATTAAACAACATAAACGAAAAATGGAATGGTTGGCAGCTGAACGTGGATTAGAACAAAATAATCAAATTTTGCCTGAACAGACAACAATTACGAAGGGAAAGAAGAAGAAAGAGAATTAAATTATTTTAATTAAAAAAGATTTTTTTGTTTTTAGCCTTTTGTTGTTGATTTTATTTTATTTATTTGTTACACTTTGACAATTTTTGGGTTTAAATTGATTTGGAAGTTTGGAAAAAATTTTTAAAAAGAAAATGTTTAATACTTAATCTCCAATTCTTTGTTTACCCAAAAAAATATTTTTATTGCTCAATTTGTCACATTTAAAAATTAAAAAAAAATAAATAATCAAAATAAGTATTTTGTGTTCTTTAAAAGCTTAAACAAAAAATTTAAAATTTGAACACTAAATACTAAAAGAGAAGTAAAAATACAAAAATGGCAATAAGAAATTTTAAATTAAAAGGAGAGATTATTTTTAAAAAATGAAATTTAAAAAATTAATTTAAAATTGAAAAAATAAATTATTTGAGAAAAAAATTTTTATTAAATTAATTGTTTGAAAGACTTAACCATTCTGGTTAGTTGAGACAAAAAAATAAATATATTTAATTATGAAAGTTTAAATAAGTTAATTAAAATTATCAGAGAAAATACAAATAAAATAATAAATTAAATATATAAAAATTGCACATTAGCTCGGCCAATTACATATAAATTAAAAAAAAATTCAAAAAATTGTTGAAAGACAAGGGCTTGTTTATATTTAAATGTTTTGAAGGGAATGTTTAGGAAAGAAAGAGGTTATTTTAGTTTTTTAAATAAAGTGGTAAACAAAATAAATTAAATTAAAATTGGCAAATTAAATATTTAAATTTAAAAAAGGCATAATAAATTATAAAAAGGAATGGCAGTGAAATATTATCGACAAATTTAAAATATAAACAAATAAAATTTGCTGAAGGATAGGCAGGCAATCAGCTGGTTAAAAATTAAATTATAATAAATTTTGAAAAGAAATAAGTGGAAGCTCTCCATAACTTCGTCCCCTCCCTACGTCATTTCCCTTTTTAGTGCATAGGTAAGAAGTTATGGCCTGAATGGTAACGTTATAGAGATTCCACTAAAGTTCGGCTTTTAATTGGCAGTGAGGAATCAGACTTAACTAAAAAATAAAAAGAGATTTTAGGTTAGCGTATGGAGAAATCCCCAAAACTTTATAATAAACTCATGGGATCCCTCATTCCTCCACCTCTTACAAAAAAGCCGAACTTTTAAATAAATTGAAATTCTTTTAAATAATTTAAATTATTATTTATTTGTTGTGAAGAAGAAAAATTATTTTTTTGTAATAATTTAATAGCTAAAGTATTTCTAGCAAAATTCGCGGCATGTAAAAGTTGCTCAATTAATTCAGAATTTTGTTTTAAATTATTATTTAATTGTTTAGGTTGTTGAGGAAGTATTTTTATTGTATTTATTTCTTCTTTTTTATTTTTTTGTTGAAGACAATTAAATAATTCTCCAATTTCTTGTCCAAAATATTTTTGTGAATTATTTGAATATTTTCTTTTTAATGGTATTGGAGAATTTGAAGAATTCTGAAAGAAAAAAAAATTAATAATTAAATTTTTCTTTTCTCTTAGAGGGGGCTGGAGGAGGTGGGCTTTTCCTATTTTTAAAGGGAATTAGTAGAGTAAATCTTACTTATGTCATTGGTTTTTCATCTTAAAAAAGATAATCATTAAATGCCGCCTCACCCTTCTTCTAACCTTTTCCATTCTAAATCTATTACTTATTCCCCCCTAAATACCTATCCAAATAATTTACTTCAAAATTTCTTTCACAATTTCCTTCTTTAATAATATTTTCTTCACATTTTAATTGTTTTAAAGGTAAAGTTTCTTCTTCTTCTTCTTTAATTAATTTTCTTTTTAAATAAATTGTTGAAGAAAGTTTTTTATTCCAATTATCTCTACATTCTTCTTCCCAACGTTGATTGTGTTTTTGAAGTAATTCTTTTGTTAAAATATTTGAAGAATAATAATTAATTTCTGTTGTTTTTTGATTTCTTTTAATTGATTTAATATCTTCTTCTGTTCCAACACGAGAATTGCTTTTTTGACTTTTTAATAAACGATGGACATTTTCAAGACAATTTATCTGTTAATTAAATAAATTTTAATTTATTCTCTAAATTAATTTAATAATTCGGAAAATTCTTTCAAAAATTAATTTTCGTTTTTAATTAAATTACTTGATTATAAGATAAATTAGTGGTAGTAATTTGTTGATTATCTTGTTGAATAATTAAAGAAGAAAGTGTTGGAGGAGTAATTAATTCTGATTGTTCTTTATTATTATTTACTGGCTAAAATAGGTATATTAATTTTTAATTTAAATTTTAATTTAAAAATACCTCAGATAAAATTGTTCGTAATATTTTAGTTTGTTTATCACAATTATTTGAAGAAGAAGAAGAATAAATTAATTCTTTTGAATTATCTTCAATTTGTGATTGGATATTAAATGAATGTCTTCCAACAACCTTTAAAAATAGATTAATTTTTAATTTAATTTTAATTCCAAATAACCATTTCAATATGTTTAGTCCACGGATTTACAAAAGCAGCCCATTCACTATCAATTACCAAAGAATTCCCTGAATATGTAAGTAAACGAAGTCCTGAACTTTTAACTATTTGGGTTCCACCTAGAGAATGTACTAGAAAAAAAAATTTATTTATATTTTAAATTAAAATTTAAATACATTTTTGATGTGCTTCTTTAATTATATGAGCATCTTCTGGATGTACAATTGTAAATAATGATTTACCAGTAACTTCACTTGGAAAATGTCCAAGTAATGGAATTGAACTAGAAAAAATAACACAAAATTAATTTAAAAAGTTTTTTTAATTTTATTAAAAATTAAAAAAAAATTTTGCAAGCCGCAGGATTCGAACCTGCGCCCTCCGAAGAGGACTGCGACCTGAACGCAGCGCCTTAGACCGCTCGGCCAGACTTGCACCGAAGGGAAAAACAAAATAAGTTTATTTAAGTCAAAAGATTTCCATTTAAATATCGAGAGTTTTGATTGAGTAAAAATTATTAATGTATTTAAAGTTTTTAAGAAAAAAAAAGAATATAAAAGAATAAAATATAAATAGTAATTAATTATAATGAGTTTTGATTCAATTATTTATTTAAAAGTTTGGAAAGAATATGTAACAAAATAAAATAAATTTTTAATTTTATTTTCCTTATTTAAAAAGGAAAGTTAAATTTATTTTGTGTTTCTCCTATTTAAATATTTAATTATTTATTTATTAAAATAAATATATGTATATTGTGGTAAATAAATAAATAAAAATATTCTTTCTCCCTTTTATTTTTCCGTTCATGCTTTACCCCAATACATACTAAAAACAATAATAAATTTAAAAAAAGAAGTAAGAGGGGGGAAATTAAAGTTCCTTTTGCCTTTTGACAGAAAATAAAATTGTTTATTTATTTATTTATTGTCCATCCATTCCTCGCTAATTTTCTTCCAAAGCCTCGTGGTTGTTGTCGCCGCTGGCTATTTCGGTTTTCAGCTTGTTGCGGACAGTGACCGGCAATGGATGGCAGACCGGTGGCGGCTGGTGCGGAGAAGATATTTTAAAGGGAAATGAATAAAGGGAAGGGGAGTACTAGGTCAGTGACAGTGTCTGTCAGTGGAAGAATGGTGGCGGCTGGCGCTGCTCCCATAAAGTGATGGAAAAAAGGAATTAGGTCAGTCACCTCCCTCCCCCCCCCCTCTCTTTCCTTTGAGGGGGGTTGAGGGGAAAAAGGGAGGAAACAGTTGAGTGACCAAAACTGACCAAACGAGGAAAAGAGGATGAAGGAAAGTGAAGGGGGGAAGGGAAGGGGGTAGGGGATGAAGAGGCGAGGAAGGAGGGAATGACCAAAATAAATACTGGTTGTTTGTTGTTTGGTCAATGACTGCGGCCAATGACCAACAAAAAAGAATAGAAAATACGGGGAACGGATAATATTGTTTAAAGAAATATTTAAATTTAGAAAATTTATTTTTAGTAAAATAATTTAGAAAAAAAACTTTTTAAACGATAAATTAAACAAAATAAATAAAAAATTAATAGTTAGTTTCTTTGGATTTATTTTTAAAAAAGTGAAAAGAGAATAAGCAGACCGGTTTAGAAAAAAAAAAGATTTATTTATTTTTTATTAAATTAAAAAAAGTGACCTATAATCTAATTTAAAGGTAAAAATGAAAAGACTTCCCACACACACATACACCTATTAATTACCCAAAACATGATGGAGATTAATAAAATATTTTTGTTAAAAAATGAATGACTCAGAAATTAAGAAAGGAACCGATAAAAATATTTAAAAAAATTTATGAAAAAGGTTAAAAAGGTATAAATAAAAATAAATAGAATTAATATGTAAATTAATTAATTAAATACTAAAAAACGGCCTAATTAGCATTGATATATTATTGTCTTTTTGAACTCTTTTGGACTTTTTTTTAAAAATTCTCAAAATAAGTAGCAGAATCAAAAAGTGAATGGAAGGCGAAACAAAATATATGTAAATTTAATTATTTAAAAAAAGTAAAGGATTATTTTATTTTAATTTAAAAAAACTTTCTTTTTTCTTACTTAGAATCTAAATAAATAATTGAACAAAAAGAATTATGTCTTGTAGTAAATACTAAATTTTTGTTTTTAATAAATAAATGTTGTTGTTGTTGTTTAATATCAATATTTTGAAGACAAAATAATTGAATATTGGCTAATCGACGAGAAGAATTTTTTGAATCATTAAAAAATTCACAAAGTAATTCACATGCCCGAATAGAATTATCTCCCCTTTAAATTAAAAATTTTTTTTTCAAAACTCTTCCTCTAACCATTTAATTCTTGCATACATTCTTCTACGTGAATGTCCACAAAAAGCATTTAACAACATTGTTTGTGCCCCCTTTCCATTTAAATAATTAAATAAAGATTCCCCTATTTTTAAACAAAATTCTGATTGATTTTCTTCTTCAGAAGAATTTGAAGAAGAAGAAATATTGTTGTTTTGGTGAAATTCAAGTATTATACCGTCTGGTAAAGAAATAAATAAAGTTCCGAGATATTGACGTCCAAAGATTGAAGAATTTGGTGGTGGAGGGGACTTTAAAAAAAGAAAAGAAAATTTATTTAAAATAATTTAATTTTAATTTTATATAATCCCAAACTAATCCTCGAAACCCAATATTTTTAAAAACAATTATTTTTTATTTAAATTTTTACATTAAAATTATCAGATCCACTTTGTGGGGAATCACAATCTTTAAATTGTTCATCAATTAAAGATTGTTGTTGTTCTAATATTTTATTTTTATTTAATTCTTCATTTAAAGGAATTGTTGATATTATACAGGAAGTATTTGAATGCATTTTTTGAAAGAGAAAATAAATAAATAAATTTTAAATAAACTAAAATAAAAAAAATAAATATTTTAATTATTTCTGAAATTTAAATATAAATAAAATATACTTTATTTTAAAAATAAAATGAAAATAATTATTTTTAATAAAGAAAAATTTGCATAAAAAATATTTTGGGAAATAGCCAAACATGTGTTGAAAAAAAAGAAAAGAGAGAAAGGCTACAAAGCAATGGTCAAATAAATAAAAAGAATTTTAAAAAATAGAAAAAATATTTAATTTAAATAAATATTAAATTTATTTTTTTAATAAAAAAATAATTTTAAAAATGTGACAGTTAAAAGGAAAGGAAAATGGAAGGAGAAAATATTAAAAAAAGAATTGAGCGCAGAATTTTAAAAATTGAATAGCCTTAACCTAAGCAGAGAAAATGCAAAAAAGAGTGAGAACGGGAAAAAGTTTTTTCTTTTAATAATTTTAATTTTAATAAAATATATTAAATAAAAAAATGGTTAATTATTATTTAAATGATGTAAAGTTTATGCAGATACCTAATTATTAAATTAAAAAAGGAAAATACAGATAATTATTTTTCTCAATAATTATCTTAAAATATTTTAACAACAAAAAAGTAATTGGCAAATTAACTAAATAAATATTTTAAATAAACTGACCACTACATACTATAAAGAATTAAATATATATTTATTTTTAGTAAATGTCCGAATGAAGTAGTGATTCTTTTTCTTTTTCTAAATTTTTAGCTCCGGCTGGCTGTAAATTTGATGGAGAAAAGGGGAGGAGAGTAAATTGAAAACGAAAAGGAAGGAGGGTGGGGGGAATGTACTCGCTCCGAGTACTGCCGCCGAATTGCTTTAAAATTAAAAGGAAGAAGGGAGAGGGGGGAAGGGGGTATTTTTTTTATATTTTAAAATTAAAATGAAAATTTAAAAAAAATTTAAATAATTAATAAAAATAATTGAGTTAAAAACTAAATAAAAGAAAAATTAAAATATTTTTTTATAATTTTGTAATTATTTTAAATTATTTAATTTTAAAAATAATTTAAAATTCAACAACAAAAAATATATTTAAAAATAACCTTTTCCCCCTTCCTTTGCTTCGCTTTCTTTTCTAAAAACAAGCAACTTGCTGTCAACTAACACCAAAATTTATGGTGACAGAGAAATGATGTCGCCAGTTGTGATGGGTGAGCAATAAGAAATGACACCGGCTGACCATTTCGAGGGGAGTCAATCCCGAAATTATTATTGGGGTTTTTTGGGTTTTTTCAACTTTGAATTTATTCTGATTTTTCTGTTACATTTTAACGGGTTCTAGTCGATACAATTTAGCTTCAGCTTCATTAATTTAAAATATTAATTCAAAATATTCAGCAAATATTTCTATAAATAACCCAAGGCTTTAAAGGCAAGAATATTGACAGCAAAATGTCCATTCCAACCAACCCAGTCAGAGTTCCTTCATTTATTCATAAAGTTTATCCGTTCATAAAGGATCTTCTTCTTTCCTCATTTTCCTTCTTCGGAGTTGGTGCCAGCTCCTGTCCACCAAAATTCAGCACCGCCCACTACCATTCGTTGAAGCGTGCCCAGCAGTGCGAGGCTATTTGCTAGTTAAAAGTAGGGTGGACAGCCGCAAACAACGGGTCATCGGCGGTCAGCTATATGAGCTACTATAATTTTTAAAGGGTGACACAAAAAGAGAGAGAGGAGAATTGTGGGTAGAAGGGTCATTCAAACCATCGACGCTTGTAGGGATAATGGTGTGAAACATCGGAGGATAAAACTGTGGGTAGTAAAGGGCAGAAAAGCTAATGATAAAATAAGGAAAAAGCTAATGAAAAAAGATGAAGTCGACAAGAATGAGAGAAATTTTACATACTGGCACGGCATGAAGCGACAGCAAAATTCTGTCACAAATTAAGTAAATTGCTGCTAAAATATTTTTTTAATAACGAGTTAAATTTTTAAAAAATTATTAACCAAGATAATTTTATTTAAAAAATTTTCTTACATTTAACAGACAAAAAATATTTCTCCGAGATATTCATATCAAAATATATATTTCTTCTTTCTCCATTTAAAAATATTTACTTAATCCAATTCCATATCATCATCACGTTCACGTGGCGGCTTCTTATCCACTTTAGTCTTCTCAGCTTCATCTTTAATTTTCTTTCGATTTTCTTCTTCTTTTACCAATTCATTCGCAATATTTTGTTCATCATCTGCTTCTTTTTCAATTGATTTGTCAACTAAAAATATTATTTTTTCCAATTAAAAATATTCTTAAAAACCTTCTTGAGCAGTTAATTTTTCTGCAAATTGTTTCAAATCTCCTTTATTTGCAGCCTCAATAACTGGACGATTTAAATGAAAATGTTCCAAAGCTTGTCCCAATTGACCCATTTGAAGCGCCTGTCCAATAAAATCAGCTGATTGTTGAAACTGTGGAGTGCTAACAGTTTGTGTTAATTCTTCATTAACATTTTGAAGGTCTCCTTGATCAGGCAAATGAGGAACTAATTGTTCTTTGTATTTATCAACGACCTTTTAAAATAATTTTTTAATTTGTGTCAATCAAAAATGTTTTATATAGTATCATAGAAAAACAACAATCCTAGAAATCAAATGCGAGCTATCCAGGCCAGTAGCAAAGATTTTTTTCGGGGGCCAAAATTTTTTCCAACAAAATAAAAAAGAATTACTTGTTGAGTATTATTTCGAGTAATTATTGTAGACATATCAATTATAGAACGCTTTTTATCTCCGTCAGAAGTTCCTTCTCCACTTGGTAATGAACCTATAATTTGGCTTAGAGTTTGAGCATTCACTTTTCCAGCAGTAGAAGCAGCTGCAGCACTAATTTTCGAAGGCCTTGATTGGAGAGGTGTAGAAGTTCCACCCTGGGAAATTAAAGAGGAGAGGTTTCCAATCGGATAACCAGCACTAAAAATTAAATTTATTAAAGATCTACCAACAATAATGTTATTTACTTTGCAGCTGCCGTAGCAAGTTGCGACAGTTGAGGCATTAGATCACTTAGATTTCCTCCACTATTATTGGCCACAGAGAAAAGACGCATTAATTCTAAAAAATTAAATCATTTAAAAATTAAAGCTGTTGAATAACGTTGTTGGTCCATATTTGCAAGTGCACCCAAATCCTCCGCATTAATATTAACAAGTGCAGGATGGGCTGATTGAGATGTACGTTCAGTACGTACAGGTGCACGAGTAGGTGGTGCATTACTCAGCAACTCGTTCATCTTAAAATTAAATTTTTAAGGTAATCTGCCATAATGAACTTAAGGAATGAACTGAACCCTAAAGAATGAGCGAATTTTTCATCATAATGAGCGATTGAGAATGGAACTCAAATCAATTTACCACGAAAGAGGAGAATTATTACTTGACACTCCCATGTCACGTCAAGTTTGAACGCCAAAATATCTTTCTAACCTTTTTCAAAACTTCAGCATCCTTCTCCTCGTCTGATCCTTGCATCCAAAAAAGATGACGTTCTTCGCTATTTTTGAATTTAAGCATAAACACACGTCCATCTTTGCATTCAGTTACGCGAATAAACTCAGTTTCACCCGGAAAAATAATTAAATCCTAAAAAGTGCTTATTGTTAATGTTGAAGAAAATTAAAACACAAACAAGCTCAGTAGCACTATTTTTACGATTTTTCCAACAAAGATGCAGGAGTTGATCATCCTGCGAGTGCTTGACATAAACTGAACCAGGATCCTGTTTAGCTACAGCTCGACGTTCATCCTTAGTGGAGCCAGGTTCAATCATTGTCCTGCCAGCCTAAAATTCGATACATTAAAAGAATAATCAAAGTATTCCGTATACCTGAAATTCAAGAAGATAGCTCCCTCCAACGGTAGGAGAGCCAGTATTAGCGAACATAATACTCATTTTTACTTGTTTACAATTAAAATGTCACTAAAATTTACTTAAAAATATTATTAAAAAATATAATATTGCAATGGAACAAATAGAAAATAAATTATTAAACAAAAACGAAGGAATTTATCCATTTAGCGAAAGGAATGAGAATAATTAAGATTAAATACAATCAAATTAAATATCAATTTTGTTCTTCATTAATTAAAATCGTATCCGTCATTTTCCGGCATCATACAACGTCGACGGCTTTTTATACTGTGCAACACCTGCATAATCCCCATTTTAGCTTCATCCCTTTCATGTTCTTCAAAAAGACGAAGTTCGGCACCAATATATGCTCCAAATTGTGAATCAGGAGTAGCCGGACGAATTGAAGTAGGGCCAGGAGAAGACTCACACTTTTTGATCTTTTTAATCAAAGGCTTTTGATCCATGTCAACCCGCTTCCTCCTGTCAATAGAACTGGAAGTGTTGATTTTTAAGGAAATGAAAGATATTTTGAAAAGAAAATCGTTTTTTGATTAATAAAATAATAAACTAGAAATTATACTATCATTCTACCCCCTCTAGTTTTTCTTTAAATTTTACCCCAAATTTTATTAAATTAACAAAAAAAGAACTTAGGAGTTCCTCTTGTAGCAGTATCCATAAAAGACAAAGCCTCACGATATGGCCACACCCTCTCTTTGTTTCCTTCAGAATCAGAAAGTGGTTTCTTCTTCTTCAATCTTGCATAATAATCAACTAAATATTTCCATTTCTTCTTTGCATCTTCAATATCTTTTTAAATAAAAAGTAGTTACATTTAATTATAATTAAAGTTATTACCAACTCCAACTTGTTCAGAAATTCTAGTCCATGCATCTTTACATTTTTGTTTATCTTTATGATCTTCTAAGGCCATATTCCAAAGAAACTCGCATTCACGTACAATTTCAATAAACATATTCCAATCAAAGTCAGACTTGTTCATTTTTAAGAAGATGAAAGAACCCAGTAGTATATTAAAAAATCATCCAAAAATCCTAGAACTAATCAATATTCTCGGTAGGGGGAAAAGGTCGATTCAGAGTAGCGATTCAGAGTACGGCTAAAAGGGGACGATTCAGAGTACATAAATTTTCGGACCTAGAAAATTAGTTTTTCTTGCGATTTTTGTGGTTTTTCTCAGTTCCTAGGATCTGATGAACATTCTATTCCATCCAGGAATGAAATTCTCCAATGAATTCATAAATAAATTCAAAAATTATCTATGTGATTCTTAATTTATGGGATTTCTATTACCAGAATATCAGTTCCGGTTCATCTTCATACACTAATTAAGAAGAACAAACGATTAAAAAAGCTAGAATTAAAAAAATTGAAGACGTGGTGAGACTCAAATGTTTAAAAACCTAAAGGTTTAGGCTTCAAAAGGTTTAGACTAAAAGTTACCAGGTAACGAAAGAGTCTTAAAATATGGCATCAAAACGAAAGTTTTTGGGATATAACTTTTTTGTTTTTAAATCAATCCAAATAATTTTTGCTTTAATTAAAAGCTCTGGATGTGCTGGTTATATTTTCATAGAAATTGTTTAGTTTTACCGTCTTTCAAAAAAGTTAGGAGCCGTTAACTGCGAATAGTCGTGATTTAACATACTTAGGCGGGTGTAACTTTCTAAGAAATGATCGGATCCTTTCATAAAGTTAATAAAAAGAATAAAAACAAATATAGATTCTAATTGATAAAGAAAATTTCTGGAAATGATCGAAATAAAAAAAGTTATGGCATAAAAAAAGGCGTTTCGATGCTAAGTCGCCGAGACTCTATTGACAAGCAAGCCTAAAGGTTTAGGTTTGTGCTGAGACTGAAAATAAATGTAAAGACAAAAGAGTCTTGCTGACTTTTTGACATAATTCAAGTCAATTAATTTTTAAATGCTTAATTTTATTTTTGCATATGCTTATATAAATACTTTAATAAATATTTTGATACTTCAATACTTTAATTAACAAGAAAAAAATATTAGAAAATAAAAATGTCCGAAAAATTTTATTCTAAAATTTTTAAAAATTTCTCAAAATTAAATTCGTTTTAAATGAATTACTTTTTATTTTTAATTCAATTTCTTATTTTAATTGAGTTAAATGTCTGTGAATGTATTAATGGTGGCAGAGAAGCCAATATTGGCTGAATCTATTGCAAGAATTCTTTCAAGTGGAAGTTGTGAAACTCGAAAAGGTTTTTTAATTTCTTTATTTTTAAAATTTTTATAAAGGTTCGAATGGTGCTTGTTCAATTTCAACGTACAAAGGAAGGTTTAATAATTTGTCAGCAATATTTAAAGTTACTTCTACTTGTGGGCATGTTATGGGTTTGCTGATTTATTTTTAAAAAATCTGATAATTTATAGGTGTTGATTTTCCTGGTAAATTTAATGCCTGGCACAGAACCGATCCTGTTGAACTTTTTAATTGTCCAATTGAACATATTGAGGCAAATCCGAAATTAAGAATGCCTGCTGTATTTTTTTCATTTTTTGTTTAAATATAACTACTTTTGTTTTAGTTTCTCGCTTCGGTAGCGAAAGGTTGTGATTATTTGGTTCTATGGCTTGATTGTGACAAAGAAGGTGAAAATATTTGTTTTGAAGTAATTGATGCAGTTCAAAATTCTATGAAGCCTTCAAGATCTAATAATTTTTTGAATGTTGTTTATAGGTAAATATTTTTTTATTTTTAAATGAGAAATTGATTTTTTAAATAAATTTTGACAATTTTTAGAGCTCGTTTTTCTGCGGTAACAGAAAAGGAAATAAAGGATGCAATGAGGAATTTAGTTCGACCCAATCTCAATGAATCACTTTCTGTTGATGCTCGTCAAGAATTAGATCTTCGAATTGGCTGTGCCTTTACACGTTTTCAAACGAAATTTTTCCAGGTTTTAAATATTTTATAAATTGAATTTTTAAGAGAATAAAATTCCTTAAATTTATCAAAATTAAAGGAAAAATATGGAGATCTCGACTCGAATTTAATTTCTTTTGGTCCCTGCCAGACACCAACACTCGCATTTTGTGTTGTTAGACATGATGAGATTGTTAATTTTAAACCGCAGCCTTATTGGCTTTTACAAGCTGAAATTGAATTGCCTGGAGGAGGGAGAACATTGAAATTGGAATGGGCACGAGATCGTCAATTTGATAAAAATGCTGCTCAATCTTTTCTCAAGAAGATAAAGGTTCTTTTGTTATTTTTGATTTTAATTTAATTTTTAAATATAAAGTCCTTTACTTTTGTAGAATGCTAAACATGCAACAGTCGTCGAAATTTCTGACAAAGAACATAAAAAAGAAAAGCCAGTAGCTCTTAACACTGTTGAATTATTGAAAGTTGCTTCCAGTTATTTGGGTCTTGGACCTTCTAGTGCAATGTCTGTTGCTGAATTTTTATATACTCGTGGATATACTAGGTAATCTTTTTTAAATTACCTATTTTCTTCATTTAATGTTTTAGTTATCCACGTACTGAAACTACCGCTTATCCCGAATCTTTCGATTTTTCCTCAATTTTAAAACAAATTGCAATCATTCCTGAATTTCATGCTTTTGTACTAAAGGTAAATTTATTTTTTAATTTTTTAAATTAAAAATTTCTTTTAGATTATGCAAAATGGCATCTCCAAACCTAGGGCTGGTGTTAATAAAGGAGACCATCCACCGATTACTCCCCTCAAAGCAAAAGATAGCTGGCTTAGTGGAGGTGATATAAATTATATCCTCGTAATTTGGATACGTTTATCGATAATGGCGTCCAAATATAAGTTTCTAAAAGGGAAATGCTTTTTAAAAATATAATTTTAATATTTTTTTGTTTTAGATCATCTACGCATATATGAATATATTGTACAACATTTTTTGGCAACTTTAATGCCTTCATGTAAATATTTGACTAAAACTATTAAGTAATCCATTAAATTGTTTTTATTGAAATAATTTTGTTATCAGATTTTCTATTGGCGAAGAACAATTTTTGACTCATTCTCGTGTTGTTACAGAGCCAGGATTCACTGAATTGCTTACTTGGATGGCTGTCTCACAAGATGAAACTTTTGACCAAATAAAGAAAGGACAAAATTTTGAAATAAAGTTTTTAATAAAAAATATTTTTTAAAAAGAAATTTTAATTTTTTAAAGAGAAATAAAAATGGTTGAACGAATGACAACACCTCCAGAATATTTAACAGAATCAGAACTTATATCTTTAATGGAAAAATATGGGATTGGAACGGATGCTTCAATTCCTACTCACATTAATAATATTTGTACTAGAAATTATGTTAAGGTTGGAAATTTTTGAAATTAATTTTTGAGTAAATTAGATGGGGGGGGGGGGTATTTTTTAAAAAGGAATAGTAGTCGAAAACATTTTTTTAATTTTATTTCTGGAAACTAATATTCTGATTTTCTTAAATTTGAAGTGAAATTGTTTTAATTTAGATAGAAACTGGCCGTAAATTAGTTCCAACAAAATTGGGTATAGCCCTAATCCATGGCTACCAAAAAATTGATGCAGATTTAGTTGAGCCAACAACGAGGGCAAATGTTGAGAAACAGTTGAATTTAATTGCAGAGGGAAAAGCAGATTATATTGCAGTTAAAAATAATTTTTATTAAAATTTAAATTCTAAGAATTCATTTTTAGATGAAAAGTCAAACTTTGGATATGTTTAAACAAAAATACGAATATTTTGTAACAAATATTAAATTGGTTGATTCTTTTTTTGAAGGTTTAATTTTTATTTTTTTTCTCTTGTAATTTCCTCATAGATTCTTTCAAAACTTTGGTTGAGAGTGGAAAACCTTTCAGTAAATGTGGTAAATGTCGTCGTTATATGAAACTTGTTGAGGCAAGGCCACAACGCCTTTATTGTCCAACATGCCAGGTTTTTTCTGCATTTTTGATAAAATTTTCAAAACAATTTAAAGGAGCAATACCCTGTTCCTTCTGCCAAAGATGCTTCTGTCCGCCTTCATGGCGAGCATTTATGTCCAATTGATGGATTTGAGTTACTCTATTTTCACCCTGCTGGAGGGAAACTGGCCAAGTCTTTTGCATTTTGCCCTCATTGTTACAACAATCCACCTTTTGAAGATATGCGTGGAAGGCATCCAGGCTGTAATGAATGTAGTCATCCAGAATGTCAACATTCTTATATGTTTGCTTTTGTTATAAATATATTTTTTATATTTATTTTTCAGAACTCAAGGAGTACTCCAATGTTTAACTAGATGTTTTGGTGGTAGAGGAACTCTTGTACTTGATCCTCAATCTGGACCTAAGTGGAGACTCTCGTGCAATAAATGTCCTGCTGTGGTCAGCATTTTTGAAGGCGCTGCGAAATTGAAAGTAATGGATAGATGTGAAAAATGTGGTGCTAGAAAATTGTCTGTAGAATATAAGGTTTTAAAATCATAATTAAAGAATTACCCATTTTCCTCTAAAGAATGCCAAAACTTCCAAACTCCCAGATCAGGCTTGCAATTTTGTTGGATGTGCATTTTGTGAACAACATAATTTGGGGGAATGTGTTAACTTTCGACACGCTTTTTTAGATAAGGAACCAAATATTGGTGGTAGTCGTGGTACAAGAGGAAGTCGAGGAGGGAGGGGACGAGGACGGGGTAGTACAACCACAAGAAGCAATTCTTCAAATCGTGACAACGTCTCCTCAGGCCGCGGGGGTGTTAGAGGGAGAGGAACTCGAGGACAAAGTAGAGGAACGAGCCGCGGAAGGGGCATAAGAGGAGGTAGAGGGAATTAATAGCCGCAAATAACTATAGAATCTAGTTTATTGTTTTTTTATTTTCCATATTGAATAAATTTAAAGTTTTGAATAGCACGCATAATTTATTTTTTATTAACTTTGAAAGTGAAAACAATGGAAAAAATGACGCAAATTAAAAAATACGTTAACTTGAATTTGTAGTCGGCACAAAATTCGGGAATATTAAATCAAAAACTTGGTCATAGTGATCAACAAAATGGATTTCAACATCTTTCTTGATAAAATCTGCCAAATCCTCATAATCCTTTTTGTTTTCCTCTGGAAGCACAACACAATTAACACCCGCCCTTTTTGCAGCAATTATCTTCTCTTTAATTCCACCAACGGGTAGCACTTTTCCAGTCAGAGAAATCTCTCCTGTCATTGAAATGCCTTGAACTGCGGGCTCTCCGGTTGCCAAAGAGAGAAGTGCACTAGTAATTGTACAACCAGCAGAAGGACCATCTTTCGGTACAGCACCCTAAAGGAAAAAATTCAGCATGTACAAATGTGGCAAAACAAACCTCAGGAACGTGAACGTGAATATGAGCCTGTTCTAAAAACTCGTTGTTTGGATCTCTCCTTCCCAAAACATTCTTTGCTACTGTGTATGCTGTTCGCATTGATTCCTTCATGACGTCACCGAGATGTCCAGTTGCCTCCAAACTACCTTGAGGTGGAGATGGTGATGGGGAATTTGTTGTCACATTAGTGTTAACAATTTGATGAGCATCCCACGGGCGGAGTTTTCTCGCCAAAGAAGCTTCAATATAAAGTGCAGAACCCCCTTAAATTTTAATTTAGAATAATAAAAACAAAAAACAAACCCATAGCTGTCCAAGCTAATCCCATAATAACTCCTGGTGGTGTAACATCATAAAGTCGTTCACTCGTGAATTTCTCCCGCCCAACAAATTCTTTAAGATTAGAATTGTCAACAATAATTTTCTCATTTTTATTTTCCTCTTTGCTCACAATTCGGAATGCTGCTTTTCGGAAAATCTTTTAAAAAAAGTAATTGAATTCAAAAAATAAAAGAAACCTTTTCCAAATGTTTTTCCAAATTTCGAACTCCAGACTCGCGGCAATATGAACGAATTAATGTATTTATAGCTTCATTAGTTATAAATAAATTTTCCTCAGTCAGAGCACTTTAAAAATATTTTAAATAATTTTTAAACACAAAATTAACCATTTTTCCCGACATTTTGGCACAAGAAAATTCTTTGCAATTTCAATTTTTTCTTCTGCAACATAACCAGAAACTTCAATCATTTCCATTCTATCTTTAACTGGGCCAGGTATTCTATCGGTTTCATTTGCTGTACAAATAAATAGAACTTTGGAAAGGTCAACTGGAACATCAATAAAATGATCGAGAAAATTAGAATTTTGTTCAGGGTCTAAAACTTCAAGTAAAGCTGAAGCTGGATCTCCATGATAACCTTTAAAAGATTATTAAAATCATTTTCTTTAAAAAAAGAATTATTACCTGCTCCTCCAATTTTATCAATTTCGTCAATTAAAATAAGCGGATTTTCTGCCTGTACTTTTTTAAAACATTGAATTATTTTTCCAGGCATTGCCCCAATATAAGTACGTCTATGGCCTTTAATTTCTGCAACATCAGTCATTCCACCAACAGAAAATCGGTAATATTCTCTGTTTAATGCTCTAGCAATTGATTTTGCAATACTTGTTTTTCCAACACCTGGAGGCCCATAAAAACACAAAATCTTTCCATTTGTTTGTTTCTTTAAAATTCCAACAGCTATAAATTCTAATATTCTTTCTTTAATATCTTTCATTCCATAATGATCTTCTTCCAAAATTTTTTGAGCTCGATTAACATCAGTTACTTCTTCAGAAGTTTTACCCCAGGGAATTGATGTTAGCCAGTCCAGATAATTTCTATAAAAATATGTGAAAGTAAAAAATAATTGTATTTAAATGTTAATACTAGAAAAAAATAAATAAACCTTGAAATACTAAATTCACTGCTATGTGGATCCAAAAAAGAAAGTTTTGTTTGTTCCTCTTTTATTACTTTCATTGCATATTCAGGAACATTTAAATTAGCCAAACGTTCATCTAATCTTTCAAGAACTGCTTGTTTATCTTCTTTTTCAATTCCCAATTCTCTTTTTATTGCTTTTAACTTAAAAATAATTTTACAAAAAATTTTTTTAAATTCCAAAAAAAAACCTGTTCATTAAGTAAATATTTATGATTTTGTTCTTGAACTTTTTTCTCTACAGATTCCCTTATATTTTTTAACATTTTTACTCTTGCTCTTTCCTTTTCTAATAATTCTAATGCCAAATCAAGTCTTCTCATTATCTAAAATTTTAATTTTAAATTTTGACAAAAATTTAACTTTTATACATTAATTTCTTCCATAACTGCCTGCAATTCTTCTGTTTCAGCATTTTGAGCAATTGTACCAACAAAGTCACACAAATAAACAGGATTGTCCACAATGCTATGCTCTGGCTGTAAAAGTAAAGCAACATGCTGTGCCATCATATTATTGTCACGAATAATTTCTCGAACAATAGACACAATTGCCTGCATTTTTACCTTAAAAAGAAGCAATTTAAAAAATATTTTATTGGAAATAGGTGAATTTTTGTATTTTTAAATTCGAGTTCAAAATAAAAAATCTGTATTAGAATGTTAAAATTAGGAAGAGAACAGACTTTGTGTCATATTACATCTAATACTGAATTTTAAAAGTTAAATATATAAAATCATCCGACTAAAAGAGGCAAAAAGAACAAAACCTAAAATATAATTTAATGTAAACCACAAAATATTCAATTTTAGTTTTCAAGTTTTATCTCCCTACCTACTAGTTTTAAAATAATAATTTTAATTTATAACCGTAATTTCAATAGATATTTGTGAAGGGACATTATCCACAATATTTTCTGTACGTGCATAAATTATTAATTTTTCTTCTGGCGGTTGATCTATTTGTTGTCCTTCTGGCTGTTCTTCAGGTTGTATTTCTTCTTTTTTTGTTTTTAAATTAGCTTTTCTATTTCCACTTAATTTTCGTCTTCCATTTCCCTTTGGGAAATCAATTGAAGGTTCAAGTGGTTGAAGTATTCGAATTCTTCTATGTGAATTTAATATCATTTCCAGCATTCTACCTTCGTGGTCACGCATTTCAAAAATATGAGCAAACGTGCCAACAGTATATAAATGGCTTATTGAAGGAACGGCTTCAGACTTATCACTAAAATTATTTTAAAAAATAAAGTTGTTCGTCTACTGCTAAAATTTTTGTGAGATGTAGAAAAGAAAGTAATTTTAAAAGATAAAATGATCGGTAAGACAAGACAAGAATATGAAGAAATAAGTCTAACAATAAGTTTCAAAAAGAATGTGCTCACAAAAATGTTTAAATAAAATTTTAAACTTACTCTGGATTTTTCTTAACAAATAAACCAACATAAGGTAATTTCTGTCTAGCCTTAGATTTGATCAAATTCATCAGAGCCTCATTTTGTTTCAACTAAATTTTAATAAATAAATTTATTTAAAAAATTATTAACATACATCCACTTTTTTAATAAATCCAGGAAAGAAAGGATATCGATTAATTGCAATAATTGGCACGTCTGGCAAATTTTCAGGAACTTTAAACTGCATCGGCTAAAAATTCGAACCTTTTTCTGCTATTGATGCCACAAAAGAACTTACAGAAGAATCAGTAAATAATGTGAGTTCATTCGCCTCCAAATCAGGTGAAGGCTGTTCTTCGTCTAAATCTTTGTTTGTCTTATCATCATTGTTGTCATTACTTAAATTTATTTATTAAATTTTTAAAAATAAAAAAAATTAACGGTGATGAAGAACTGCAAAAACGAGTATTTAAATAATTTAATGGTCTTCTTGTCGTATTGAAAATATCATTTCTAAAATACATAGAACACGAAGGTCGAGTACGCAATAATAATCCACACAATCTGACAGAAGCATTTAATCCGTAACTTAATGGCATTTTCTAAGTTAAATTTGCTAGAAAAATATAAGAAAATTAAATTTAGAATATTGAGAGGTTAATAATCAACCAAAATTAAAACAAAAAAATACCCAATAAATTTTACATAAAAAGGAAAGTTAGACAGAAAAAAGGGATTAACAACACAAATTATCTGGAAGGAAGAAATTAATTTTTCAAACACAAAAAATTTATGTATAAAAATAATCAAAAATTCTCCATCTAATTAACGCGATTTCTTTGTACTTTTATTATTTCCCGATGAAGAGGAACCCTTCTGTCCATTGTCAACATCCTTTTGAGGATTTGGCTGCCACTAAAAACATTCTTTGTCGAGAATTTTGACGAAATTAAAAAAAAACAAACATTTAAAGGATTACGACGATAAAAAGGCCAAGGTGGCAAAACAACCAAGCATGAGATAGCAAATCCAACACCAACAGTATAAATCGTAACAGAAAGTTGCTGAACCATATATCCAGCAATAAAACCCAAAACCCCATGAACAACAAGAATTACCTTAAAAATAGGGGAGTGAATAAATTTAATAAAATAAACTTGAAATATTCTTTCAGATTTACGTTGACCCTCGTAGTCAATGTGCTTAAAAATAAATTATTTTTAAAAGAAATTTCCGAAACAAATTTACCGTGCTCAAATTCTGCAACCATTCAGGTAAATAAGCAAGTAATGTGTCCAACATTGTAATTAAACAATAAAATAAAATTAATTTAAATGTTGTTTTGCCTTAAAAATTTAACAAAATTAGTGGATAAAGTGAATGTAAAAGAAAATTCTCATAAATTAAAAATTTTAAAACATCTTTCCGAAAAATTCGAAAATATGACACGCCAGCTAAATAATAAGCACACAACACCTAAAAATTATCAAAAAACCAAATAGAACATTTCAGTCCCGTGCAATCTAAAACCAAAGACCGAAATAATTCTACGCAAGATAAAAAGTGTAATTCAGAATGCTTAAAAAAGCGAACTCAGATAGGGGCGAAATTGTCTTCAATTTAATTCCGTTGAACTATTAAAACATCACAGTCCGCCAAACAAGAACACTAACCACTTAACCACAAAACCTACTCAATGTAAATATTATTTAGATTACTTCATTTGAAGTAAAAGGCGTGAAATGTTTGAAAATTGAAAAAATATTGTTATAGCGGAAAACTTGTTTAGAACATTTAGATATTAAAAAAAGTTAGTTATAAAATAATTATTGCATACAGAAACATCAAAAAACATGAAACAATCTAAGAGATAATCAGATAAATGCAATTAAAATTTCAATAATTTACAACTAAAAATGTTTAGTCAATTATATACAAAAAAAAATACCCGCAATAGAAAGGGTAAGAAATACACAGAAACCCCAATCTCAATATGTCAAAATCTTTTAAAGTTTTTTAATTATTTAAAAGTTTTTCTTGTTCCAATTCTCCTTTAAAATATTCAATTGTTTTATGCAATCCCTCAATCATTTGTACTTTTGGTTCCCACCCTAAAAATTCTTTTGCTCTAGTAATATCTGGTCTTCTTTTTTGTGGATCATCTGTCATCTTTTCTGTATGTATTATTTTACTATTCCCTCCTTTTTTTAAATTATTTAAAAATTATAATCTAAAAATTACCAATTAAATTTTTAACAATTTTTGCAAATTCTAGAATGCTATATTCTTCTGGATTTCCAATATTTACAGGCAAAGTAGTATCCAGTAATTAAATCAGAAATATATTGAAATGAACGTGTTTGATTTCCATTTCCATAAACCTTTTTTTAATTTAAATAATTCTAATTTAAAATATTCTTTTTTACTGTTATAGGCATTCCTTGAAGTGATTGTGTTATGAAATTACTAACAACCCTTCCATCATTTATATGCATTCGAGGTCCAAAAGTATTAAATATTCTAGCTATTCTAATATCCACATTTTCGTGTTTATAAAAGGCCATTAAAAGAGATTCTCCAACTCTTTTTCCTTCATCTAAAAATTAATTTTTTAGAAAAAATTTTATTCAAGAGATTTCGTTTAATTAAACGAAAACCTCATTTTTTACTTTATATTCTTTCGAATTTTAAAAATTTTGTCAGAAAATATTTGTAAAGGATCCAAAAAAGTAAAATCACTTACCATAACAAGATCTAGGCCCAATTGTATTTACATAGCCAAAATAAAGTTCAGACTGAATGCTAATAACTTAGAAAATCAGGAGAAAATAAAATTTAAATTTTACCTGAGGGCTAACTTTTGGATCGCCATAAATTTCAGAAGAAGAGGCAAAAAGAATTCTAGCTTTAACTCTTCTTCAAAAATAAAAATATATTTAAACTAATATTTTTTGAATAAAAAAACCTTGCCATTCCTAACATATTTAATGTTCCCAATATATTCGTTTTTAATGTTTTAACTGGATTATACATATAATGAGGGGGAGATGCTGGACTTGCCAAATGATATATTTGATCAACTAAAAAAGTTTCAATTTCTAACAATGTAACAATTCTTTAAGAATTTTTCGAATTAAATTACCTAGTTTCATATACCACAAAATATAAACTCCCCTAAATTCTCACTTCCTTTAAATTTAATTACCTTCACTATAAAAAGCATTAACAACATCATGATGGACTAATTCAAAATTCGGGTGTCCAATCCACCTTTCAATATTCCTCCTTCTTCCAGTAAAAAAATTATCTAAAGCAATAACTTCATGTCCATCAAGCATTAATCTGTCAACTAAATGAGAACCAACAAAACCAGCTCCCCCAGTAATTAAAATTCTTTTTCTGTTCAGTTCATTTCGAAATTTTACTTTTGGATAATTTTTTGGAATAAATTTTTCTCTAAATTTAAAAAAATCTAAGATAATTTTCAAAAGAGAAACAAACATTCTATCAACACCTTTCCTTGCAATAATCCTTTCCATTCCTTCCAAACGACTTCTTAGTTCATTTATTTGTTTTTCAAGAATTTCTATTTGGCGTCTTAATTTTAAAAAAATTTTAAAAAATAAAATTTAATTATTTTATTTACATATCAGATGAATTTCCAATATTGCTAGAAAATTGATTTGTAACTTGAAAAAGTTTTGAACTGATAAACACTTAAAAGAAAAAATATGAATTTTGAATTTTATTTCCAATTTTTTATCTTTATCTGACAGAAAATTAAATTTAAAGAGAAAAGAAAAAGTTAGTGGACATTAAATTCAATTTAAAAAAAAAGAAAATTTTTTACGTGTTATAATTGTGACAATTCCAAAAACAGCGGCTGCAGCCCAATAAAGACGTTTCATTCAAAAACCCTTTATTGTTTTTTAAATATTCATTTGATAAATTAAATATATAAAATATATTCAAAATTAAATTGAAAATTATTAAAATAAAAATATTTAAATTTAAATATTTATGATATGGCTAATAAAAAAAATTAATAAAATTATAAAAGGATTGATTGTTTGTGATTCATTTTGACGTCTTGGCGTTAGGATTTAAAGTCAAGGAAAATTTGTTTAAATATATTTAAATTTAAAAGGGTTTTCTAATGAAAGATTAATTCCCTAAAAAATTACATATTTGTTTACGAAATAAGACGTCAAAAGAAAATAAGGCTTATTTTAATAAAAAAATACTACAAAAATGTAAAAATTAAAAACTTAGATTTTCTTTATTTTTTACTTTGTCATAAACATATTTACTAAATGTTCGTAAAAACTTTGGATATTCCTTTTTATAAACTTGTCTTACACCAATTTTTGGTACCCAACCACCTGGATGGACTAAAAATAATTTTTTCTTTTAATTTTTAAAATAAATTTTCAAAAAACCTTCAGCAACATAAACAATTTTACATTGAATATCATTTCTAGTTAATTCTTCAATTGGCTTATTATTTTTTAAAATTGTTTGGCATAACATTGCTATTGTAAATTTAACCTTTATTTAGAAGAAAAAAGAAAAAAATTTTTAAATTAAAAGAAGTTAAAGAAAATAATCTAAATTTGCGAGAATTTTAAAAATTACCCGAACAGCCGAAGAAGATGATAACTAAAAATTATTTTTTATTTATTAAACCTTTTATTGTAAAATTAAAATAAATTAACCTCTACATCCTCTCGATTAGTTGATTTATTACATACCTATAAAAACATGTGAAAAATAAATGTCTAATTAATGAAAAAAACAAGGAACTAAATTTTAAAAAAATTTAGAAGGAAATTAAAAATGAAATTTTTATAATCCAAAATATTTTTTAAAAATTGAAAAAAAAACAAACCATCCAAGCATCAAAAGCATCTGAACTTTTCTTTGAAGAAACATTTAAACGTTGTGACCAAAAAAGAGATTCACGTGTGGCAGTTGGCCATATTCTTCTATGAACTTGATGTAAAAATACACTATCAGGTGACAGTTGTTCAATAATTACACAACTTTGGATTGTATCTAAATGAAATAAAAAGAGAAAATAAATTCTTTTTTTAATCATTTAAAAACCTCAAAAAATAAAATCAAAATCTTTTCTAATATTTTTTAACTCAAAAAAAACTTACCATTCAATTCTTGTTTAATAAAAGGATCAAAGAAAATATTAATAAATTCCCGTGCAGTCACACCCTAAAATTGAATGAATTTAGATAAAAAAATTAAAGCTTTTTTGAAGATTTTTGGTAAAAAATATTTATTTCAAAATTGTTTACTCAGATTAATATTAAAATAGAATACCACAAAAATAATTTTTGGTTTCCAACAACAAAAAGGATATCCTAAATGAATAACTAAAAAATTTAAAATTTACCTCAATACAGTGAAGAGCTTTTAAAGGATCAATAACAATTCCATCAATTTCATTTTCCAATTTATACATTTTTAAATTTCCATCTTCCACAAACAATTCCCATCCTTCTGTATTATTTTTTGAAACATCAGCCAAAGCATGTTGTAATTGTTGATTAGCTACAAGACGAACTTCTTCAAAAAAAGCGGAATTTGGTCCATTAACTGGTTCGTTTGATAAAAGTAAATTTAAAGTATTAATTTGTTTTTCTTTGTTATCTTCATTTTCCGAGACTTTCTAAAATTAAAATTTATTAAAATTAAAAAAAGAAATGGATAAATTTTGATTTTTTTTTTGTAAATTAGTTGCAAAAATTTAGAATCCAAAAAGGTTCAAATTAATCCCCCAAAGTCAATTCCTACTCTCAAAACATACCTCATCTGTGTTGGAATCACCCATAAATGTAGAAGTAAATATTTGGCTTTTAAGCTAAAGAAGTTAGTGTGTGAGGAAATTCTCTAAATTTATAATTAAAAAATTAATTTAAGAAATTAAATAAAATATTTAAATGAAAATTAAACAAAACATTTGTTAATATTTCAAAAATTTTCTTTTTTATTCTTTTTCGTTCAAAAATTGTGATAAAATATATTTATCTACATAAATTTGATTTTCCCAAGCTATACTTAAAAATTTATATAAATTATTATTATCATTTATTGCAAAATCCCAAAGTGCTGATGAATGAAATAAATATTCTTTTTCTAACATAAAAATTAATTGAGACAATTCTTCAATTGTTTGAGATAAAAATTGTAAAAAAGTCGAAGATTGTTGTTTAAATGAAGATTCTTCAGAAAGTTTTTGAAGGGCCAAAAGCTTTTTTTGATTTTGTCGAATATTTTCAAAAATATTTTTTGATTTAAAAATAATAATTGAAATATCTTCAGATTTTCTCAAAATTTCTTCAGATTTAATTAATAATTCATTTTCAATTAATTCCTCATCTAAAATTATTTCTTTAAATTATTTGAATAAAATTTACTTAAATTATTGTCCTTTTCCATTTCTTTTAATTTCTTCATTTGTAAACGAATATTAATTAATAATTTAAACAATTTATAGCCATCATCATTTAAAGATTTCCATTGCTTAATTAATTTAGAAATATTTGTAATAATTTCATTAAATCTATTTTCAAAATCCTGCATCTATTTAAACAAAATTTAATCAAAATTCGTATAATTTTGAGAAAAATAATTTGGTAAAAAATTTCCTTTTTATAAAAAACCTTTATAGATTGGAGATCAAAAAAATATATTTAAAATAAAATCAAAATGTTTGGTTTATAAATTAAAATCTTCTTGACAGTGCTGAGTTGTGTGGAGTTATATAGATCTGATTTTTAAAAAATTTTTTTACACAAAATTTAACTAATATGGCCTAGATCTATCTGACAATTATTAAAGAACAAAAACTCCACACAACTTGCCATGAAGATTAAAATCAAAAGTGAATTTAACGTACAAAATTATCAATTAAATTATTCCATATCTCCATTTGTATATTTTTCAAATTCCATTCCCCTCGCTTGTATAAAAACAGAAATTAATGCCAAACTTTGAATTCTTTCTGAACATCCAGCAGACAATCTCTGTTCAATCGCAGATAATCCATCATAAAGAATTTGTAACAATTTTGGGGTCCCGTCCATTTTACTTATTTTATCAGTTAATTCATCTAATATATCCATTAAGGCAACTGAATGACGAAGTCTCATTTCAGATAATTCTAAATAAAAGATGATTATAACGGCAGATTAAAAAGAATATATAGAGAAACAGTCAACCATAAAAGTCGAAAAAACAATTTAAATAGCAAATCTCTGTCCAATTTATTAAAGTCCCAATAAATATTTTTAAAATTACTTTGATTGGCTACTTCAATTGTACTATCTAACAATATACGCAATATTTTTTCAACAACGTTCGGGCGTGGATACCCCACACAGGAATAAACACCTTTCTCATTAATCACATCTGTTGCCAAGGCAGTACTCTAAAAAATAAAAACAAAAAATAATTGTTTGATCAAAGCCTTTGGAAAAAAAACCTGCAAAACATTAATTATTCGACGCATATCCCCTTTAGATAATTTAAACAAAGCATCCTTTCCATCATCAGTAACATTTAATTCTTCTTTTTGAATAATGTAATCAATTCTTGGCATTACTTGTTCTTGTTTAAGAGGAGCAAAACGAAATCTAGAAAAAATGAAAATTGTGAATTATAAACTGTGAAATACAAAAAGTTTAAACAAAAATGACCAAAGAATAATCGAATTTCTATTTCCTCATAATCCTCTAATAAAAATAAAAAATTTCAAACCGAGTACAACGTGATTGCAACGCAGGTATAATTTTTGAAAGATAATTACAAATTATACAAAAACGTGTGCTATCAGTATATCTTAAATAAATTAATTGAAAAAAATTAAAAGAAAATAATTTTAACTTTTCAATAATTCTACGTAAAGCATTTTGAGCATCTTTAGTCATTGCATCAGCCTCATCCAAAATAACAAGTTTTATTGGCCTTTTTGCACTAGTTGTATTTGTTGCTGAAAAGACATCTTGCAATCCTTGAGAACTTGCAAAACTAACAATTTTGTTTCGAACAACATCAATACCACGCTCGTCAGAAGCATTTAACTTAAAAATTCACTTGTTTGGCTAAATTTTTAATTCAATTCTGTGAAAGTAAATATAGTGTTCTGTGAGAGATAATCTCTCATGATATTTTAAGATATTGAGTCAAGGATCTGTCAAAAAATTTTTAAAATCTATAGAATACCTCAAGTAATCTAGATTTCATTCCTTTAAGTGGGAACATTTTTCGTGCTGCTGCCAAAATCGTTGTCGTTTTCCCCGTACCTGGTGGTCCATAGAAGAGAAGATGGGGCAATCGATCTTCAGCTATCATTTTTGATACTAAAGAAAATAAAATCAAAAAAATTATTTTTAAAATCTTACTTGAATTAACAATTTCTTCTTGAGAAACAAGGTCAGACAATGAAGAAGGCCTATACTTTTCAACCCAAGGCAAATTCCCAGAATCAGAAACCATTACAAAATAAAACAAAATTTAAGAAAAGACAAATTAAAATTTATAAACGAATTAAAAAATATTTTAAAAGATATAAAAACAAAAATAAATAAAACATAAAAATTTTTTTAAACCTTTACATTAAAATTAAAAAACAATTATAGATAAACCACCATATTTATTTATATAAAACATTCAAATTAAACAATACGTTCCAGATGACTCGAATAATTAAAAAGTCGTTTCAAACTTTGTTCGGTATTTAATGGCTAAAAATTAATTTTTTAAAAATATTTAATTAAAAAATAAAATACTTGAAGAACACGTTCAGCTCCACTTGCTAAAGCTAAAGTTGGCATTTTTTGATCATCAAAGTTTGTTCCTTTTCCAGCAACAAGAAATTCATTACCTTTCAAAATCCACCCTCTCTTATTTCCAAAAGCCAAAGTTTCCTCATTATTTTTTAAAGAAAGTTTTTTCATAGCAATATTAACAGGAATTGCTCGATAACTAATTTCCAAACTTTCAGCAATTTCATTTCTTTAAAAAAATTTTTTTTATTTTAATTAAAATTAAAGAAAAATATTTACTTTATAGATTCCTTCAAACTATTCATAAAAGGTTTGAAATAAGGAGTTGGAAGGTCATTTTCAGCAAGATTCTTTAAAAAATGCAAATTTTAAAAAATAAATTAAAAATTTACTATAGAATTATAAGCTCCTTCTGTCAAACAAAGCCCCAAACGTGCCGGGACAGCAAAGAAAGGATTGCCCATTCTTGTTTTATAATCAATTTTCTCAATTTTCTAAATTAAAAAAAAATAAAATTATTTTTAAATAAATTAATTAAACCAAATTAAATTTTCCAATTTGATTAGTAGCCAATAAATACATTAAATAAAGTCCAAACCTAAAATTTTTTTATTCGAGATTTAAATAATTCAAAACCCTCATAAATCCCCCCGCCCCCAAATTCCCAAAACAAAAAAATATTTACATTAAATCTTTTTGTTTCGAATCCAAAATTTGCTTTCCATCATTAATCCCAGCTTCATATAAAGCTTCTACATCTTTAATTGCCTGTCCAAATTCAATTAATTTTCCTTCTTTTGCAAGATAAATAGCTTTAATTTCATAATAATCCTCTAAAATTTTAATTAAATAATTATTTAAAAATTATTTTTTATTTACTTAAAATATTTAGAGATGGCCAAACACCTTTTTTAATTTGTATTTCATTAAATTCATTCTAAAAAATTAAAGAAAAATATTTTTTAATTAATTTATTTTACTTGTATATCTTCCAAAATACGTCCAATAACGGTAAAATTCTGTTTAGAATATTCATTTAATAATTGTCTGTGTGAAGATTCGATTGTCGGCATTTTTTTAAATAAAGACTTTAAAAACAAACTCAATTATTTCCAAAATTAACGATAAAAATTATCATCAAAATTTTCAATTAAAATTAAGCAAACCCAAAAGTACGGTAGAGGTCGATTCAACGTCGCCAATTCAGAGTAGGGCAATAACTACGATTTTTCAGATTCGAATAATTCTCATTTCATTGGAAAGGTATCGAGATACGACATCTTTTTCATAATTGGAATGATCTTATCTTAACATTTCACAAAAAGTTACAGTCTGGAATTTTTTCACAGATCAGGCAGGCGTGTGCCGAAACAGCAGATTTAAAAAAGCGAAAGACGAAACATCAAAAAAGCGAAAATTTGGTGAAAGGCGAAAGATGATACCCCTGACACAGATACCGTATTTATTCTAATTGAATGACACCTCTATTTGAATGACACCTCTAATTGAATGACACTTTTTGAGGGGTATTAAAAAATAGAATGACAGCCTCTATTTGAATGACATCTCTAATTGAATGACATTTTTCTCTAATTGAATGAAAAAACATTTACTTAACTACCTAATTTCTATAAAATTTCTATTCGGTATATTAAGCATTTTAGATGGATAATATTGATAATTTTGACGAAGAGATAGATGTAGAGGCATTATCAGAAGGGGAAGGCCCATCTGAAAAAAGCAAGATGCTCATATATGTACAGTTGAGAAAAAGATAAAGTTATTAAGGTACTATCGCATTATACCGCCTCCTAAATAATGCTTATATTTTTGTTTTTTAATTTGAATTTTTATAAATTAACATTATATTTGCCTGTCCATTATTAATCATTTACCGTTCCCTAATAATCCGAGAAAAGAGAGAAGGAAAACTTGCATTTTTTATTCTCTATGAGAAGAAAGAGAGGATGGGAAAAGTAAAAACCTGCGGACAGCGTTTTGGAGTGTGTTGTGGAAGTATTATTCTGTGGAGATAACAAGAAAACGATTTAATGTAAATTTTCTAATATTAAGAACATATTTAAACTTTTTACTTTAGCTCTATTAAGAAAGAATTTTACTAAATTTTCTTTAAAATTTCAAAATTTTTGATAAAATTTGAAAAAATTGATCATCGGAAAATAGAATGACAGCCTCTATTTGAATGACACCTCTAATTGAGTGACAAAATTTCGGGGCATTGAAAAATAGAATGACTGTCATTCAATTAGAATAAATACGGTAATTGTTCATTTCCCAACTAATATAATTAATAATAAATTAATTAGTTTACACCACAAAATATGAAGGAGACTAATACATTAATAACTGTAATAATTACTTAAACTCGCCAAATAGAGAAAATACCTCCTTTCTAGAGAGAATTGTACGTAAATAAAAAAATTCTTAAATACGTATATTTATTTTTAATTTGATCACTCTGTAAAGAATATTTTTCAAATTAATTTTTAATTTTTCAAAAATGATTACTACTATTAATTCAATATTTATTAAATTTTTATTAATTTTTCTTTTGGGGATATTTTTGTTTATTAATTTAAATAAAGCATCACCTCATCATCATCACCATTCTAGTAGTAGTAGCGAAGAATGGCGACATAGAGGTATTTTTACAAAATAAATTAATCTAAAATTCTACAATAAAATAATGGTCTACAACAGATTGAAGTTTTTAATTTCAATACAATTAAAAAGGCTTTCCCTCTTATTTTAATCCATGGGAAAGGCCATTTTGCGAGATAAACGTAGATATAAACTAGGTCGCTCACAATCCTCGAAAGGACTTCTTTTAACGAATTCCTCCTTCCGTGATTCCCCCCCCCCCTTCGTGATCACCGAAAATTTTCCCAGAGGCCTCTCCCCAGCAGATTCAACTTTAGTTCAAATTATAATATGTATATATGTACATTATAATTTTATAGGGCATTATGGATATGGTCATTATGGTACGCCGTTACGTTCATCATGGCCATGGGGACGTCGATGAAATAAGTAAAAAATTACATGAGACAAATGCAAATACAGGGTGCGGCAAATTAAGCGCGCGTTTGTTTTTTGCCATAACTTTCTTCAATTTTAATGAAAATTGATAATTCTTTTTTTGTTTTATTCCCAAAACTTTAGGAAACTTGCTGATACCAAAATTGCTTTTTAATTTTAAGTTTACTCTGAGTAAACTTCCCTCAAAGTTTGAGCAGAATTTTTTGGATAAAAATTGGCCTAGATTCAAGGCCGAGATTTTAATACTGGAAATGGTTATATCATTCGAATCAGCTCATCATTCTGATTCGAATGACATAAAAATCAGGGGGCTACGACAAAAATCGAATGAGATACGGTCCTCTGAATGATAAATTAAAATAAATCTGTTAAAAATAAAATTTTTGTGTAAAATTTTCAAAAATGAGATTATAAGCTATTTCGATGCTACTGAACGAGATGAGTCGTTTAGTACCAAAATCTTTGGTATCGAACGATTTTGAACGAAGTTATGATCAATTAAACTTTGGCATAAAAAATGTTTTTAAATTTTCCAGACGTTCGAACTCGATTATCTTTGCCAATAGTGAACCAAATTTTTAATATTTGGTATCAGCAAGTTTCCTAACGTGTTGGGAATAAAACAAAAAAAGAATTATCAATTTTCATTAAAATTGAAGAAAGTTATGGCAAAAAACAAACGCGCGCTTAATTTGCCGCACCCTGTACATATGTTATTTGACTTAATTATGAACAATTAAAACTAATACGTACATAAATTATAATTTTATTTTATAAATCATTTTATTAACTTTACACATCCAATATTTCGAAATACTAAATATCCTAGAATATTTAGTATTCCGAAAATCTAAAAATATTCGCCATAGTACTAATTTTAAGTCTCAAATCAAATTCCCCTAGTAACCCCAATATACCGCCTGCCCAAGGGTCCGCTGACAATTTTACAAAGTAATACATAAAAATGATCATTAAAAATTGATCAACAAACATTAAGCTGATTTAAAGGGTTCAGACTTTATCTAACTCAATAATTCTCATGTACTTCTAAAGAATATTTTGGACAACCAAAGATTTTTAAAACTGAAAGAATGCTTTAAAATTGTTGGCAAAAATAAAAAAATTTGCGCGCGGCAAAAATGACTTAAGCTTTTTATCTTTTCTGTAAATATAAATTTTAAAAAATAACAAGAATGCGAAAAAAAAATTTTTTTTTTAAATGCGAAAAAAATAAAAATAATTTTATAAATCACAATTTTCATCAGAAAAAGAAATTTCTTTAATACTACAAGGTGACCAAGCGACACCCGCGCCAGCCCTAAAATTTATAAATTTTAATTACAAAATATATTTCTTTTTTTAAACCTTCTTTGACTAATAGAAGCAATTTCTGTCCATTTATTTTCGTTTCCTTCGGATAAAGGATCATATGCTTCTACTGTGTTTAAATAATTATGACTGTCATGTCCACCTATAGCAAATATACGTCCACCCATTGCTGTTACTCCAACACCTCCTCTAGCACAGGAAAGTGGTTCTATTTCTTTCCAAACATTTTCTGCAAAACTATAACGTTCACAGGTGCTAAAAATAAAAAAAATTGTTAAAATAACGAAATGAAGAAAATTTAATGTACATAAGGGGTACCTTCTAGAAGGTACCCAAAAAAATCAAGAAAAAACGTCCTGCCCCAAACCCCACAGCTTGCGATTAAAGGTTATAATCCAAAATTATATTCAAAAAATTTCCCTAAATTACATATTTTGATTTCGTTCAAATAAGAAAAAACAACCTTAAAGGGGAGTCATCATCAAATCCTCCGATAACATATAAATAAGATCCAATAATGGCAACTCCAGACCCAGCTCTAAGTTAAGAAAGTTTTTTAACTTAAATTTCATTTTAAAAAATAATTAAACCTTCTATTCTTCATTGGAGCAATTGATGTCCATTTATTTACTAAAAAATAGATTTATTTTTCAATAAAACAATTTGATTAAATTTACATATTGGATCATATTTTTCACATGTTTCTAATGAATGGGTTCCACTATTTCCACCAATTGCATAAAGTTTTCCGTCTTAAATTTAAAAATAAAAGATATTTTCTAGATTAAAAACCATAAGCAGCAACAGCAACACCGCCTCTAGGCGTGGTCATATCAGCAACCTGTACCCATAAGTTTTCTTGTATGTCGTATCGTTCAACAGCCCTGTAACAATTCTGATCATCTAAACCTGAAGAACAACAAAAAATTAGAATAATAGAAAAGCATATCACTTTCGACTTTAGCACCTCTAAGAGTAACCCTCATCTCTAATTCGTATACTACACAATCAAAACTTTAAAATTCAAACAAACCTCCGACGGCATATATCGCACCACCCAAAGCCCCAACAGCCATTCCTCGTCTTCTAACATTCATTGGGGCAACATCCCTCCAAGATTCTTCTTTAACATCTAAACATTCAACAGAACTTAAATGTTCAGTTCCATCATGTCCACCAATTGCATAAATTCTAGAACCAACACAAATAACGCCAACGTGTCTTCTTCCAATTTTAAGTTCACAAATTTGATGCCAACAATTATGTAACCAATCAAAAACCTCAACAGACTTAAACGGATCCAAACGTGAACCACGTCCACCAACACAAAATATGACACCTGCAAAAGTATTTATAAATATATTAGACTAACTTGAGCAAACCAGCATAAACTTTTCTTGGACGAAATGAAACCAATGTTGACGAATTGGTAACTGTAAATTATAATATAAAAAATAATTTTATCTTATATTGAGGGATACTTTTCAGTCCCTATAGCACAAACGTTTCGATGGTTCGTATGATTTTTTCCTTATAGTTTTTTGTGTCAAAAATTTTTTAAAATTAAAAAAAAATTTTTTTGTTTCGTTAATAAAACACAACCCATTGCATAATGAATTTTTAAGAAAAATCCGTTTTGTTATACAAAACTTTTTATCTGTTTTTGGAATTTAGTACAGGTTTATTCACACAGCGGCGAGAAAAATTTTAAAAATGTATTTTAAACTGAATTTTGGGGTATCTAAAAATTTTTATTCAAATGTAGATTTGCATGGATACCAAATAAAAAATAAAAAATAAATTTTAAACCAAACCTCCATCAATATTTCCAAAAGAATTATTTCCAACAATTTTTCCCAAAATAGCTTCAGTTTGAGATCTAACAAAAGTCAAAGCTTCTGGGCATTTATTAATTAATGTATTTGGCAGAACATTATTTAAAAATTTATTTGTTGGAATTTGAAAGAAACGAATATTTTTTAAAAGTTTTGGCAAATAAATAAGCCTTTCTTCTTCATTTTGTTTAACCCAATTAATTAAAAATTCAAAAAGAAAATATTCATCAGGTATAAACAATTCATCGCTTGAAGTTAAACGTTCTAATAATGTAATTGAATTGAGTGAGAGAAATTGAGGGAGTTTAGAAAATTCCTGAAAGAGAAAAATTGTTTAAGAAAAAGTTTTTTTTGACAATACTCGTGTTTACACCAAAAACACTTCACTTTAAAACACCTTATTATGCCTAAACTAGCAAAAAATCAAATTCAACAAGTTTTTTTATCAGAGATTGATCGCAAGGATTGCAAACTTGGACTAAGAAATATCCCCAAATTACAAAAAGAATAAGGAAACCCAAAGACCCTGAACAAAATTAAAATAAAAAAATACCAAAAAATGTTCCAAAATGAATATATAAATAGAATCAAACAATTTTAAACAATTATATTGATCTGCAAGTTCATACAATTCAATACAATTACCAACATTAATTCGAGAAGTCAAAAAAGTTTCGCAAGCTTCTTTGACTGAATTTATCTTAAAAAATAAATTTTAAAAATAAAATAAATCTTCGAAAAAATTACTCCAAGATAATTAGCAGCCTGTAATGATTGCTTAACATTATTTTCAAGATTCATATGTATATGCAAAGTATATGCAAAGTATAAGATTGTATATGCAAAGTATATGCAAGTGTATATGCAAGTGCAAAGTATATGCAAGTGTATATGCAAAGTATAAGATTCATATGTATATGCAAAGTCCACAATTTGTTTTAGACCAATAAAAGTAATTTCCTTAAAATATTGGATAAAAACATTATTTTCAAAAAAATCATTGGTTTTGTAAGAAAAAATGTCAATCAGTTCAGCAGAAAGTAAAGAAAATAATTTTAAAAAACCTTAAGAACAATTCGCTTTTCACCGGCATCAGCCATCCCTGAATTAAAAAGTCCGCGAAAATATTCGATAGAAGCCGCCAAAATAACTAAAGGAATCGAAAAGGTATTTAATTTTAATTTAAAAAAATTACCTCTATGGGCAAAAATTACTTTCTCTTGGCACTAAAGAAAAAAAAGAAAAATTTAAACAAAATTAAACAAAAAAAATAGGGTCTAGAATTAAAAAATTGTAACCTCAATTTCGACATCACAAAGCAAACAATTATTTCGAAGTTCGTTAAGATTGCTTAGAAATTTTTTAAAATAATTACTAGTTGTTTGTGTAGATGACAAAGAATTTTTCTCGTCCATAAATATTTATTTTATAAATAATTAGTTACTTTAACAAATGATAATCTAAAAATTTTAATAAATGTAAAAATTTCAAGACAAAGTACTAAATAATTAAATGAAATACATACATAATACTTTTCCAAAAAAACATTGATTTGGTGATTCATTTTAATTTTATTTTTTTCCACAATGTGTTACGACAATTGCGGTTATGACAAATTGTCAATCACAGATTAAAATCTAAAAATCAAATAAAATAACACGGTGGATTGCCGGTTGTCGAATGGAATGTCAGTCGACCCCGGACAGTTTCCGAACGATTCTTGATTGAAGCGGCGCTTTCAATAAGATCTTTTTTAATTTTATATCCGCAACTGTCGTACCTCCATAATTCTAATAAATTTTGTTTTTTTCTTTTTTTCAAAAATTGTTTAAGATTATTAGAACTTTATATTAAATTAAAAAAGGAAAAATTAGTAAATAATTATTTAATTGTTTATATCCTTTCTCTTCTTTCCCCTTTTTCTTCATTAATATTTAAAATTTCTTTTTCATTTTTATATAAACTTCTACTTCTTCTACTTGAATTATTTTTATTTGTTTTATTTTTCTTCCCAAAAGGATTTAAAAAATAATTAATTAAATAATTTCTATAAATTCTTTGAGTAAATAAAGTAATTATTGGATTACAAACAATTCCAATAACTAATAAAGAATAAAATAAATCTATTGACTGTTTAAGTAATAAAGGTGGAGATGATGAAAATAATGAAAGTAAAATTCCGAGATATAAAAGACGATAGGGAAGACATGTACAAAAAGTCCATAATGTTGATGAAAAAACAAAAAAGAGGCGTTTGAAAAGTCTCTAAAAATATTAATTTTTTTTGTTAAAAATATTCAGATTTTTTTTGAAAAATACCCAAAAATTTATAAAGGAAAGTCCTCAGCACGATAGTTTTTTTTGGGCCACCCCTGAAGACCTACACCCCTTTAATCCCTCCAAATCCCATTAATCCCTCAAGATCCACCGATTAAAATTGTAAAGTAATAACAGATAAAGAATTTGAGTTGATCAAAAAGTTGTAGGTCTTCATGTAAATAGGTCTTCAGCGTTTTTTAATCGGATTTTTAATAGGTCTTCAGTGTTGACCCCATTTTTTTATGTTCTTTTTTTTTACCTTTGATTCTTTTGAAGAATCCAAAGAACGTCTTGATTTTTGTGCAATATAAAATATAATAGCAGAAAGTGTTAAAGAAGCAATTATTGAAATAATATAAAGTAAACAAATTAATAAATAAATATGTCCAGATAAAATTACTTTTTCACATGGATGCTTTTTTAAAGAATTATTTTTTCAAAAAATATTTAATTAATTACCTTAATTTCCATAAACCAATATAAAAAAATAACAAATCCAAAAATTAATGCCCAACTTCCAATCATTACCCAAATAACTCTCCTTTTGCTAACCAAAGTATAATAATGTAATGGAAATTTAATAAATAAAAATTTATCCAAATTAATCCTTTTTTTAAATTTAAATTATTTAAATTTAAATTCAATTACCATAAAAGATTTAAACAACTACATAATTGTGAAGTAACAATTAAAACATAATAAGGATAACAAAGAAATTGAGGGAAAATACTTACATCTAAAAATAAAATTAAAAAAAAATGAATTTAAAAAGTTTACAAGATCTTGTAATTATATAAATAGTGCAAGTTAATAAATCGGCCAAAGTCATATTTATAACAATTATCTTTAAAAATAAAAATTAATTAAATAATAATTAGTAGTAAAGGAGTAGAAAATATATTTTTTTAAATTTTAAACTTATCTTCATTTTCCGTTAATATTAAAGTTTTTAGAACCCGACTATGGAAAGAGTTTAAAGGTTTTTTTTGGTTAATCTGATTAATTTCGATTAAATATAAATTTTCTCAAAAATTATATAAATTTAATATTTTACAATTAATTCTGTCTATAAATATTTTAAGCTAAATCGCAACGAAAACTCAAAAAAAATGTGTTGAGTCTAAAATTATGAATACATCTAAAAATTGTATAAATTTATTAAAAGCTATCTTCCCTCAAAAGGTTGGAGAAAAATATTTAAACAATAAAAATTTAAAATAATTATTTTTTGAATTAAAAATCCAAATTATTTTGAGAAAACTAATAAAATTAATATTTTTATTTATTTACCTGTCTAGGTTTATCATTAATATTAACATTTAAATAAGCAATTAATAAAACAATTAAATTTAAAAAAGTTCCAATTAATCCATTAACCAAATAAAAATATTCTTCAAATACTGTTATTTTATCTCCAACTTCATCTTCTTCAATTTCTTCCTTACTTTCATTAATTAAAATACTTAAATTCTCCATAATATTTATTTTTTAATTTAAATTAAATATATTTCTTTCTAAATGTATTAGAGAAAATTTAAAAAAGTTAATTATTTTTGATAATTAAATGGTTTTTTGTTGTTGTCGAACAAAAGGTAGAAGGGGGAAAAGACAAAGCTTGGAGAAACAAAAAATGAAAGGGAGGGAGGGAGGGATATACATTAATGGAATTAACTAAATTATTAACTAAATAAATATATCATCAACTTTTCATTAGCTAAAAGTAAATATTTTTAAATATCCATTAAAAATAAATATCATCAAAACAAACAAAAAATAAGCAAATATAAATTTCCTTTAAAGGTTTTTCAAATATTTTTTTATTACTTTTCAAAAAAAAAAGTTTATATACCTGTCGCGAATTGGTCGCGAAGTCGGAATTACAAAAATTATTTTTCCTACAATTTTTATTTATTTTCCATAAAACCATTTTTGTACTCCTTATCTTCTAAATATATCTAAAGGAATGTTTCCCAGCTTTTTCTAAACTTTAGCCTTAGTTGTTTTGTGTCCACACATTTTTCTTTATATATGCTTATTCATTCCCTTCAACTATGTTCAGTTTACTTTACTAATTGTACTTCGCTTTACATTAGCAACTTTTCCTACCTTTGCCTTAATATAATTTATATTTGTGAAATAAATAAATTTTGATTGAAAAAGGAAATTTTGATTTACTATTAGAGAAATTAGGGCCATTTCTCTACAGTCCTACCCAGATCGAACTTTACTACCTTCTTACTATTTTTACTCTTTTTTGTGAAATTATTACTCCTGTTAATTTTTTGTGTTTGATTCATACTTATTTTTCTCTGATTGATTTCTACATTTCGAAATTTGATTTACTCTTAACCATTCTTACTAGAAAATGTCTCTCCCATTTAGAAACCAGATAAAAAGCCTATATCCGGAAATTATCGAAATTTTGGAAGCCAATAAAACCTTTCCGGTCCCTCTTCGAAACCAGGGGCAATCGGATCATATTTACTTTTCCCAGATCCGTTCCTACCTCCGAGAATTGGATTTTACGCTTTCCGAGGCTTCCGATAACCTAACCGACCTTTCTACTACTCATGACCAATGGATGGACCTTCGAGCAAAAATGACTGGTCCCGAACGAACCCACGACAATGAAGTCTATGATGAATTTACGAAATCCTGCCCGTACCCTTCCCTTATTGGAAAACTCAAGAAATACGTCCGATCATTGACTGCCCAAAAGAACGAATTAACCGCTATTTTGCCCGGAAATAATGCCAGTACCCCTCCACCTACCGCTAACACGTCCTCTACCTCCTTGGCCCATCTTCCTAGAATGGCCTTACCGCAATTTTCCGGGAATTGTGTTGAATTCCCCTCATTTTGGTCCTCCTTCCAGGCTGCGGTTGGAGACTTACCGAATATTTCCGACTCAGTAAAACTGTCCTATCTCAAATCCTGCCTCCGTTCTGCTCCCTTAGCCGTTATTGAATCCTTCCCTCTTGTGGACCAATCCTACCCTCAGGCCGTCGATTTACTAAAACAGAAATATGAAAATCCTACCGAAATTTCCCGCTCCTTATGCCAATCCTTGAAACAACTACCAACAGTTAGAAAAGGCGAATATTTTTGCCGTGATTTATCCTCCTTAGTTAATGAATTTGAAAGTTTAATTTGCCGATTTACTCAACAAGGAGAAAATACAGACAACATACATATTCAATTAGAAATCGAATCAAAACTTCCGACTTTCGTATTAGAGGAAATTTATAGAGCGAAAGAAAATAATCCTGCCTGGACAACAGAACTTTTAAAACAAAAATTGAAGGCCATACTAAAAAGAAAAGAAGACATCTCGGCCATGAACAACAGCCCTCAAAAACCGCAAGTTCAACCTTTTTCTCAAAAAATTTATTCTCCCCGAAATGATTCTCCCCCGGGCCCTCGTTCCTCTCTAACCTTTAATACTCAAACAACCCGGCGATCGAATGCCGTAGAACCCAAGCTCCCCTGTTTATTTTGTAACGTCTTTGGGCACTTCTCCCCATCCTGTCAACAATATCCCGACCTTTATTCCCGCCGAAATAAATTGAAAGAACTACGGCGGTGCTTTAGCTGTATGAAAGAAGGGCACACCACCCCTCAATGCCGAATGCCCATGAAATGTTCCTCCTGTGGTGGCCCTCACCCGCGGGCCCTTTGCTCTAACCTATTACCCTCAACCCCACCATTTACCCCGAGGCCTCCCCAACGACATCCGCAAACCTACCGTAATACGGCTAACGAAAACCCTCGCCCATTCCAACATCCCACGAGAATGCCAAATTTTATTCAGCCCAAGCCAACGCCCGATTGTCATTTTTCTCAATCCGCACCTTATACTAGAATTACTGACCCCCGTCCACCTCCTCCAACTAATTTAGAACCCAGCCAACAAACAAACTCTTCTACTAACCCTACCAGTAATTACAGGCCGATTTTGCTGAAATGTGTTCGAACCACAATCTTCAATCCAGACTTCCCTTCCTGTCAATATGAAGGAATTGTGCTTCTCGATGACGCCAGTACTAACACCTACATTCATACTACCGTAGCCAATGCCTTAAATCTAAACCTATCTCCCAGTTCTATTAACCTTGGGGTCTTTAATAACCCTTCCATAACTTCTCTACCCACTTATACCACCACCTTCGGTCTTAAATTAGTTGATGGCCGTTCCTTAATTATAAAAGCCAATACATTGAACCACCTTACCCAACCCACGCCATATGTGCCGTTTTCTAACGAACTTGTATATGAAAAGGATCTTGTCCGAAATTACCAGAATATCGTTCCAAGCATCCTGTTGGGAAGTGACTTTTACTATGAAATAGAGCCCACACCAATATACCGATTACCCTCCGGCTACCACCTAATCCAGACCCTTCTGGGTCTTATTATCGCTGGAAAACCTTTTGGATGCTCAAATTCCCTCCAGATTACTAATTTCTCTTCCCAAACAACATTCACAGAACCTCCTAATGAATTTTTCTCCCTCGAAAGTATAGGCATTACCGATCCTTCCCCGACCAAGACTGACGACTCGGTCCTACAGGAATTTAACCGCACAGTAGAATTTAACCATGGGCGATACCAAGTAATGTTCCCATTTAAATCCTGCCCAAAAACTTTACCTCTTCCTTCAAATTTTGGATTATGTTGGGGAAGATTACGTTCAACATTGAATTCATTGAATAAAAACAACGACCTATTGGAAAAATACAACAAAATTATTGAAGAGCAGCACGAACTGGGAATTATCGAAACGGTGGAATCTCACAAGAATTTCCATCCCCCGCTACATTACCTACCCCACCATGCGGTTATAAATCCCAAAAAAGTCCGTATTGTATATGATGGGTCCGCGAAACTTCCTAATTCATTTTCTCTCAATGACTGCCTTCACCCTGGACCCGTGATTTTACCGGAACTTTTAGGTGTTCTCCTCCGAATGCGAATACCAAAAATAGTCATTGTTTGTGATATCCAAAAAGCCTTCCTACAAGTCTCAGTGCACCCAAACCATCGAGACTCGATTCGATTTTTGGGGTTAAAAAACATTCAAGAACCCTTAACCCTCGGAAATTTACAGATTTACCGATTTACCCGGGTACCATTTGGTCTTTCTCCTTCCCCATTTTTACTGGCAGCTACTATTTTATTCCATTTACGACTAAATTCATCACAATTAACTGAAGACATACTACCAAATATTTACGTAGACAACATTTTGTTTGGAGCTGAAACTGTCCTAGAGGCCAAAGAAAAATGTGATTGCTTAATTGAACTATTTTCTACTGCCAACATGAAACTACGTGAATTTATTTCCAATATTCCCGAAACGATTGACCATATTCCCCTTGAGGATAAACTCAATGGCCCAAAACAGAAATTTCTTGGCGTTGGATGGCAAACCGATACTGATTACCTATTTGTGGAAACCCATAACCCTCCTACCGAATTGTCCAAAAGAACTATTCTCTCTTTTATTGCCTCCCATTACGACCCCTGCGGCTATATTAGTCCTATTATTTTACCTTTGAAATTATTCCTACACAAATTATGGTCTGAAAAACTCACATGGGACGAGAAACTACCTGAAAAATTAATTAATTCGTGGAACAACCTAATTAACGACTGGCAGATTGGAACTGTGCAAATTCCTCGTCTCATTTCAACTTTACCTGTTGACAACCGAATTTACCAATTACACTGCTTTTCAGACGCCTCTCTGTCTGCTATGGGATGTGCCGTGTATTTACGTACGTTAAATCCGATTTCCAAAATGTCCCAGGTTTCTTTACTATTTTCCAAAACTAAAATTAAACCCTTGAAATCCAACAATAAACTAACTGTACCCAGGCTGGAATTAATCGCGGCAAAAATAGGAACTAATGCCCTTGGTTATGTTTACAAAGAATTGTCCCACCTGAATATTACCGTACCCCTTTTTCTGTGGATAGACTCCTCTGCTGTTTTAGGGTGGTTAACCGGAAAAAACCCTACCAATGAAATTTTCGTTTCCAATTGCCTAAACCACATAAGAAAAATTCCTGATTTATTGGTACAACATGTTTCGGGCCTCGACAATCCGGCCGACATTTGCTCCCGTGGGTTAATTAATGCCCAACTACTACAACAACAAAAAGTTTGGTGGAATGGACCGCCTTGGTTGACCACTGAATCCTGGCCTCAAACCGAAATTAGGCCTTTCTTTTCCAATGACCCGCCAAAATTACCTTCTCCAAACATTGCCATGACCTTCCATATCCAGACCGAAATGAATACCCGGACAATAGACCCTTCGTTATTTTCCAGACTCCCGAAATTATTACGGATTTTTGCCTTTTCCCTACGTTTTATATGGAAATTACGTCCCAAAGCCAAAATTTTTCCTCAACAATTCAATATTGACTACAACAGAACATTTCCTGCATATTTTGAAATCTACCTGGCAAAAA